TCAACTTGATCTTTATTAGCGGCATGCCGATTGGACATGTTGTCAGAGCCCACCTTTGACCTCGCCTACTTCAAGCGCAAGTTCCCCATTGTACTTAACGCAACAATATCATGCAGGACAATCACCAACATTACAATTCCTAATGTTTAACATGCTAAAACGGCAATTATTTAGTTTTACTATTACATTGATTGGCGTTAAAGTGACTCGCTGTGCCAATATTATTTCAAATAACAGGATCACAAAATATGTATTATTTTAGTGGCGGGATGAAAAAAGGGAGGGGTGTTTAATTATAATTGTCTTCCACATTTGTTAAAAAAAAACAAACAAAAACAATCCAATCTTTTCCAGCTGTTCATTACTGCATCACCGTTCACTGGCCAGACAGCCTTGACCCCTGTTGGCGGTGTTGGCAGCAGCAACAACAGCCTACAGGTGGATTACCTCACTTACTCCAGCAATTACTCCGATACATACCAGGACAAATGCAGGATAGACAACTATGGTGGAAACGGCTACTATCAGACCTCACCAAATTACTACACCGATAACCCATGGTACTACCAGACCTCACCAAATTACTACACCGATAACCCATGGTACTACCAGACCTCACCAAATTACTACACCGATTACTATCAGACCTCACCAAATTACTACACCAATTACCCCTGGTACTACCAGACCTCACAAAATTACTACACCGATAACCCCTGGTACTACCAGACCTCACAAAATTACTACACCGATTACCCATGGTACTATCAGACCTCACAAAATTACTACACCGATTACCCATGGTACTACCAGACCTCACAAAATTACTACACGGATTACCCCTACTACTACAACACCTCCCCAGACCGCAGAACAGATTCAACATTTCTCCTGTATTCCTTGTACGAGGCCCTGTCATCGCTGAGTCAGGCGAACTTCGACATTCAGACGGCCATCCAACACTTGCAGAGAGCCATCGCCCATGTGGACGGAAGCGTCGCTCGCAAAAAATGAGCTTTTTAAACATTCAAAATAAAGTTTGAGCTCTAAATGTATTCAGGTGTTGATTATTTATTTGGTTTGATCTTTTGTCCCGGTCGGTCTCTATTAGTAGTATTAGCCTCGCGTCTAAGAGCGTTGTTAGATCGTTTGTCCCGTTCTGTCTCTATTAGCCTGGCTTCTTGGGACGTTGTTAGATCGTTTGTCCCGTTCTGTCTCTATTAGCCTGGCTTCTTGGGACGTTGTTAGATCTTTTGTCCCTTTCTGTCTCTATTAGCCTGGCTTCTTGGGACGTTGTTATATCTTTTGTCCCTTTCTGTCTCTATTAGCCTGGCTTCTTGGGACGTTGTTAGATCTTTTGTCCCGTTCTGTCTCTATTAGCCTGGCTTCTTGGGACGTTGTTAGATCTTTTGTCCCTTTCTGTCTCTATTAGCCTGGCTTCTTGGGACGTTGTTAGATCTTTTGTCCCTTTCTGTCTCTATTAGCCTGGCTTCTTGGGACGTTGTTAGATCTTTTGTCCCGTTCTGTCTCTATTAGCCTGGCTTCTTGGGACGTTGTTAGATCTTTTGTCCCTTTCTGTCTCTATTAGCCTGGCTTCTTGGGACGTTGTTATATCTTTTGTCCCTTTCTGTCTCTATTAGCCTGGCTTCTTGGGACGTTGTTAGATCTTTTGTCCCTTTCTGTCTCTATTAGCCTGGCTTCTTGGGACGTTGTTAGATCTTTTGTCCCTTTCTGTCTCTATTAGCCTGGCTTCTTGGGACGTTGTTAGATCTTTTGTCCCGTTCTGTCTCTATTAGCCTGGCTTCTTGGGACGTTGTTAGATCTTTTGTCCCTTTCTGTCTCTATTAGCCTGGCTTCTTGGGACGTTGTTAGATATTTTGTCCCGTTCTGTCTCTATTAGCCTGGCTTCTTGAAGTAGTTGAAGCGCTGTTTTGACATTGGGCATTTAAATAGTTGCATCTAAGACTTGGTACAAAATGAGTGTTGATGGGTTTAAAAAAAAAATATTTTATCAATTCTACCCTGTTACTTTCAAGTCGAGCCGTTCATGTCCTGCACACCGAGACTGCGTTGTGCGATACCCAAAGATGGGTTGATTTTATTTGTTTCGAAACAGAAGCAACACTTTTAATCTTGGCAACAGTTTTTAAAGTTTGCTGTCAAACTAGACATTCAGATTCATTGTTTTTTTCTGCACCAGCCATCAATTGATTATCATCTGGTCAAGAACAGTTCACTGATTAGTTCAAAGGTTGGGCGACCCTTCTATTGCGCTTTTCAAACGAGAGGGGGGGGGGGGGGGGGTGTTATTAAACTGGTTATTGACACCTCTAACATATACCGCATAAAACATGCTGAATCCAGGCAAACTGATGGCATATTCAAAAGCTTCCCCAGGTCGCTCTCATCCTAAAACGCAGAGACTTGTATTTTTTTCTTAGGAAGGCGCAGGCTGATACAAATAGGAAAAGTTCAAACAACGACACTACTTCACCCCACTAAGAGGCACTAACCGGGATCCCAACTCTCAAAAATACCGGGATACCGGACTAAAACGAATGTTTCGAAATACCGGAATTGGATTTATGAAAGCCGGTGTTTCCAAAATGTTCGGTATTTTATTTTCAAAAAATATAGATTGTTTTTCTTGTATAGCTTCCATTTCCATGTTGTATTTTGAGTAAAATGGGTCATTCATTTTTCAAAAAGCGTTTATTGATTGGAAATTACATCTTGACATTTCTGGAGATGAATTTAAAGGACCGATTAATCCCAGCATAATATGTTAAAGCAACGGTAGACGAACTTTGCAAAAGAAATGAAAACTTAATGACATCTGATGCGACGTTGATGTTAATGGTGTTGTTGTTTAAATAGATAGACGCGTCATGTAATAGTTGCACGTGGACGTGTTGCGTCTCTGACGCGTCGGACTAAAGGGCACAGGTTGTCGGTAGCTTTGACGTCGAATGACTTGCAAAATCCTAAGACATACTTTGATTTCTTGCATAACCCTAAGACGCACGTAGATTCGTCAAATGACTACGTGGACGTATTGCTTAGGCCACATTAAATAAGGGTTTTATTGCGTCCCCTACACCCCTCCAATGACGCATTTACAGACTCCACTTCACCGTTGCCCTCACCTAGTGCCGTGTTTCGGAACTATTCACCCCACTATAGTGCCGCGTTTCCAAACACTACTTCACCCGCCAATGCCACCTTTCTAGATTTCACTTTACCTCCACCAGCGCCACGTTTCCAGACACCAGTTCACCCCACCAGTATCGCTTTTCTAGAGTTACTTCACCCCACTGTTGCCGGGTTTCCAAGACACCACCTCACCCCACTGTTGCCGGGTTTCCAAGACACCAGTTCATTCCACTGTTGCCGGGTTTCCAAGACACCAGTTCATTCCACTGTTGCCGGGTTTCCAAGACACCACCTCACCCCACTGTTGACGGGTTTCCAAGACACCACCTCACCCCACTGTTGCCGGGTTTCCAAGACACCACCTCACCCCACTGTTTCCGGGTTTCCAAGACACCAGTTCATTCCACTGTTGCCGGGTTTCCAAGACACCACCTCACGCCGGAAATCGACAAATTTTGGGAACGACTGGCTTAGGCCAATAAAAAATACGTCATAAGCACCTTGAACGTACGGTGTACTAAATATTACTGTAATATCTCAACTACTACCGAGTACTTTCTGAGCCAATCTAGCGAGTTCATTAAGGAAAATGCATGGCAACATTTTGACGATAATTCCTATAAAACCTTACGTGCAATGTTCCTTCTAACGTTTGTTGGTTCGTGTGCAAAATCATAAAGTTGTGTGCAAATTTTTACAGCATCAATTTTTTTGTGCGCAAAATTTTCAGCCTACAGACACTTAAGTGGAAATTAACTGCGCGGTACTCCAAACTGCTGCGCGGCGTCTGTGAGATTGCTGCGCGGCCTCGCAGCTTAAAGGGAGCATTTCTTACGTGGTATTTTTATACAGCATTCGAGATATCAAGACCAGTAGGGCTAGGCTATTTTTTGGACTGTCGGAATTTCAAAATAATTGTAGAATTGTAAAACATAATAAATGCACGTACTTCTTCCCACCTCACGGCCATACGCACGAGTAAGCAAAATCTTCAAGATCGATAACTCCCCCTCAATCCGTACGTACTAAATGGATGACATGTTATTGCCGCCCGTGGCAGACTAAGCTTTTCGCCTCGCCCACCCACCAACAAAAAAAAATGTCGGCTGTTGACCAAAAATACCGCCCCTCTACACGATGGAACGTCTCATCGGCACCCCTCTTCCTACGCCAGTGAGTGGATTACATCAACAGTAGGGAACGGACTCTTCACAGCACAATTAAAGACTACATTAGAAAATGGCGTCAACGAGCCGTCAAGATAGTTAAATGCCCTCCCCAAAGCATCATTCCCTCAAGCACTTAACTAACGGCCGCGAAGCGGCACTTTGAAGATATCCTGCAGCTAGTACAGCCCCCCCCCCCCCCCCCCCCCCCCCCCGCTCTCACTCGATTGACTAATCACCGGGGCCATCTTAGTCTAAGGACATCCGCTCGGATCCCTATCATATATACACCTATCTTATGGCAATATGTACCAATCTGGTGGAAGTATTAACCCATCTGGTGGCAATTTATATCCATGTGGGGCCATTACCAACCCACCTGGTGGCAATACCTATCCACCTGGTGGCAATACCTACCCAGCTGACAACACAATTTGACTAAAAAACAGATGTCCCACAGATGTCCAACATAGCAGGCACAAAGCCAAAGAACAACAACTAAAATAAACACTTTAAAACTACAAATATCAACAAAAACAAAAATAAACACTTCAAAACTACACATATCAACAACATCCAAATAGGCACTTCAAAACTAAACATATCAATGACAATAATAAACTATAAAATGCTACACATATGAAATATTCTATATTCTAGAGCCAGTCAAATAAGTTGGTATTTCATTGTAAGCAAATTTATTTATCAATTTCTTTGTTTTTTATTTTTAATTCAGTGGCTGGTTACAATTATGAAAAATATCATTTCACATGAAAGGACATGTCTTTGAAATAAAGAAATAATGGCCACAGCATCTAATAGTAAACATTTCTCAAGATATGTTATTTTTAAAATCTAATAAAAATTATTGTTCATCTGGCTTTTTAGTTGTCAGCCTGAACGCCTCTGAAAATAGTTATCACAGTAGGGAGGTGAATTAACAGATGGTATGGGTGATATACAAAGTGGGTTGGTTGATATGACAAATGGGATGGTTGATATAGAAATTTTTCACGTAGTAGTTACTATTATAGTGTCTCTGGTTTTTCATTTTTATTTGCTTTAGCAGTTTAAATAGTCTACATATTTTTAATAATTGTAAAATGCTTAGAGCTGTAAGGTAAGCGCTATAAAAAAAAAATGCCTAAATAATAATAATATAACAGATTGTATGGGATGGGAGATATAACAAATGGGATGGTTGATATAACAGATGGGATGGTTGATATAACAGATTGTATGGGATGGGAGATATAACAGATGGGATGGTTGATATAACTGATGGTATGGGATGGGTGATATAACAGACGGGATGGATGATACAGCAGATGGGATTTGTGATATAAAAGATGGAATAGGTGATGATATAGAAAGTGGGATGGGTGGTTGTTTAAAAGATGGGATGGGTTATAAAACAGATGGGATGGGTGGGTAATAAAACAAATGGAATGGTTGATATAATAGACGGGATGGTTTATATTACAGATGGGATGGGTGACACATGATATAGTTGATCAAAAACATGACATAAGTATCAAATGACATAAGTGATGACAATAAGTATAGTTCACCTAACAAATGACATGGAAATTATATTACATGTATAGTTCACAAAACAAATATAATTTTACAAATAATAAATCCATCTGTAAGGCTAAAACCAATAAAAACAAAAACCTTTAATCAACAGCTTAGATCAGTTATGACATTCCAATGAAACCACATCTGGCCAAACACAATGAACTAAATCTGGCCAAACACAATGAACTAAATCTAGCCAATCACAAAGAACTTTATCTAGCCAATCACAATGAACCAAAACAAGCCATCATAACAGACCAGATCTAGCCAATCCAAAGTTCCTTCACAAAGCTATAAAGTAAAACACTTACGTCACGTATGTCATCAACTAACCCCAAAACCAATAGGACATTAGAGCTGTAATTATTTTTTTAAAAATTATGATAATTCCTAAGAGCAACATTTTAAGCATTAAATTATACAAACATTATGTCTTATTTAGGGCCTAGGGCAGTGCTCATCGAACTTTTCAATGGGTTTGACAGATATAAATATGTATATACATTTCAGCAAGGACCAACGCACAAGTTAATGATAATTTTTTTTTATTTTCTTTAAAATGGATACACTACATCTATCAGTGTTTCATTTATTTCCATCAAACCTCATGGCATAAAATCTTTTAGCCCTTTGGTCTTTACAAAACAACATTTATCTGACTCCCTTTGTGTCATCATTTTCCTGCATAATGTCAATACTTAACCAAAGCATTAATTACATGATATTTGAACACAACCAAATTTTGTCCAAACAGGTGCAAAAAAAAAACTATCCCCACTGAACTTGACCTCCTGTCTGCTATTGTCTTAGAAAATATCCTAAAGCAATGTTATCAGAAGTGCTCAGGGGGCATGACTTGCTTCCTGTATCCAGTCTAAGACCAACACAACACGGGACCCTGACCGAATTGTCTTGCCAGTAAACTTAGACATCAGCATCATCAATGAATGGTGTTCACAGCTCTTAACAACACAATAAAACAAAGGTATAAACAATGGTAATGTACATGTGTATAGTCCAGTAAAAAATATCACCTGTGTAAAGAGATCTGATAAATAAGTTTAGAGATTACGGTAGGTAGTGATTTTAACAAGAAATTGTTTTCCCACTTTTTCATTCAGTGGATCATTCTGTATCACTAAAAAATGTAAAATATACAAACATGTTCAAATACATTAACAGAACTAATGAACGATAATTTATATTTTTTAAATTCTGGCAAAAATTTATATTTTAAATCAATGAATTTGGATGAATCATTGAGTTACTTATTTATGCCTTTAACTGCATGAAATTGGAACAGGAATTTAAGACCACTGAAACTATAAAGAGATTTTTTAGAAAATTAATTTTTTATATTAAATATTACAACAAATGACGCATGATTAGTTTTTAATTAAAGATGTTTCTTAAATTAATCGCACAGGGTGAAATAGTATAAGAACTTATTTTACACTACCTTAAGAAGAATTTTTTTTTAACCTATTTGTATTCAATCAAACAAAATAGTAATTTTAAAAATACATTTCTGGCAAGTCTGACCAAAGTAGTATTTACATTTTTTCTTCCCTTCATGTGGTCTCAGTGTGTATCCTTCCTCAGCCAAGTCTTGCTCTAAGCATCGAATAAAAGATTCTTCATCAGCCGGCGCATCCCAGGGCCCTATGGACACTTGGGCATTCTCAATAATGCAACCATGCTTGGGGTTGAAGGTGACCACTTTAGGCTTGAAGTCCTTGCGGAATGCATGGATAGAAACATCTCCTACCCTTGTGATGGTTGCGCGTGCCATGGCCACTTTAATAACTTCTTCTTTGACTAATGTATAGTCTGGGAACTGGGCTCTTTGGGCCTCTTTGACAGCCATTGTGGCAATTTCTGGCTTAAGCTGAAGTCTTTCAACCAGTTCATGGAGGCCGTAATAATTGGCCTCGCGAAATAGCAAAAATGTCATGTTGTTGGTCTGTGGTATAGTTCCGTACCGAAGGTATTCCAAAATGAGAGCAAAAACTGCACCATTACTGTCCAGGAAGAAGTTCCCGTCCTTATCTTTGTCTATCTTGTGGCGACCACTGAACATGGCTGCAAGCATCGAATCTGAGAATTTTAGGAGGGTTGAAAGTCTTGTCATATAAAGGTGACCACCAACGTTCAGAGGAATGATAGCAGGAAAGGTGGAGGTGGAGACCTAGGGAGTCAAAGTAACAATTAGTATTTTAATTTAAAAACTACATATGTATCAATATTTAATTAGAATTTAGAAATGTAAAATTTAAAACTCCTTATAAACAGTTAACAGTTAAAATATGATTTATCAAAACACTGTTCAATAAGTGTAAACACGAGACATTAGAAACATTAACATGACTTATTTAGAATTCCAGAGCAATTGGCACCCATTGTTTCGCCTTGCAATTTTTTTACAAAAAGATTATATCAGATAAGATTCTTTATTTATCCAAATAAATACATTAAGACATATTCATTTTTCAGCACATTAATAAATAAAAATTTAAACCAAGACAACCTTTACAATTACAACAATTTAAACTCAAGACAAATAAAGTATTTCTCTAGCGTAGAAATCAGCCATAAATGAACTTCTTTAGTAACAATAATGATTTAATTAGTGATCATTTAGCTTTGGTAACTTGGTAAAACGTTGGTAGATTCATACAGATTGGGGATAAATGAATTTTAATATCTTTCTGTTTTAACTTTAAGAGAACGAATTCACCATGATCAAGCTAATCTTAGGTATCTGTTATGAAGTCAGTGGGATGTATAATCCAATTTTTTTTTAATTTTCTTCAAATAGTTCCTAAAGTGAATGATGCTTAGTTTATGTGATGTTACTAGCTTTTTTTTAATTAGCCTTTTAATCAGTTTTTGATGCGAGACTGTGAATTCCCACACCCACAGGTAATACTGAAGTTAAGTAGGATTGCAATTGTTGCACTGCAGAATAAGTTCATAACTTGTTTGTCTACAACAAAATTGTAAAATGTTTGAAGATAAAAATGTTTTTGGTTGACTTTTTTAAACAGACTTTGGCTGTTTTCATGTGAAGTCAGCTTATTATTATTGGTGACATTTAAATACTTATATGTCCCTCCTTGGTCTATACTGTGATTATTTATTGCGATATCCGCAATTGGGTGATTCCCCCTCTGAAAATTGAAAACCATTTCTTTCGTTGAGATATTCAACTGAAGAAAATTTTCATCGCACAGACTGATAAAGCTTTAACTAAGTTGCAGTACAAGCTTTCCTCTTGAGATATTAAGCCAACAATGGTGGTATCATCCTCAAAGTTTAATTATTGTAACGGTGTTGCTTAGCCTCTGGATATCATTGGTATGTAATGAATTCAGGACAGGTGAGAGAACGCAACCTTGTGGTGCTCAACTTATGACCTACGCAACTTACGACCATTTGACTTAAAGACCACAATCACTAGCCATATTGTATTAGATTTCAGATTTATTTCTCCCTCAATTATCAGTCGAACGGCATTGTCTGCAATCATCTTCAGTGGTGAACATAAAAAATTATGATTTATAACAATAATAAAAGAAATGATATAATTCAACTTAAATATTTTTATAACATGACTTCACATTACTGTACACATAGCATACTCATTTTACGACCAAATCGTGTTATGACTGGTCTGTCGGAACCGATCGTGGTCGTAAGTCAAGCACTAGCTGTACTTATTTCTCTAGTTAATGATTTTTGACACTGAAAAATGTTATCATGTGAAGCTAGCGCAGAATTAGTTATAGTTTAAATAACATTTAGTCAGTTGAGAACCTTCTCACATTCAACACACAGCAAACAGTTTTAGACTAGAGCTAAAAATTAAAGGAAATCAAATGTATAAACATCTTCACAAGTACAAATTAAAATTGTTCCACTTTCTCACTTTTAAAAGAAAATATGTTGAAATACATTACAGCATCTGCAATGTGTTTGAATGAACATAGAGAACTTACCCTTTAGGTGAACTTAGCCTTCAGTGAACTTACCCTTTCGGTGAACCTACCCTTTCGGTGAACTTAGCTTCTCAGTAAACTTACCCTTTCAGTGGGTGCTTCTTTTGAAGGACTTGCACTTGAAGCTTTTGAATGAAGACTGTGCTCTGGACTGTGATAAGGCCAACATTCATTCACATATGGCTGGGTTTGGAATGTTAATCTAGGAATATGTATAGGGTGAACTGTGATGACTTCCTCCCCTGAATCTGTGTCCTCATCATAACCCCCCATTCCTTTATCTGCTGTGGAGTCCTGTAGATCCATTACACTGCCGGCAACAGTTGCTCATTTAGCTTAGACAGTGTAATATTGTTGGTGAATTTCACACGTTTTAATAACCTGGAAATTAACATAAAACACTAATTATCATTTATTATTGAAAGCATTCAATGCTTGCCCTGTATTCCCTTTCAGTCATAGATCTATTTACACCTAAAGCTAGTAAAAAGTATTTAAGTTATTTTACAACAATTAACATTTAACATTGTCATTTTACGGATTAATCATACCATTAGGCTAATTATTAATATGTATTGCTGATATACATATAGTATTAATATTGTAGTGATAAATATTAATTTTTTTTTTAAATTTAGGAAGGGGAGGGGGTTTTAAAGTATTGTTTTAGGGAAATTAATTAGATCACCAAGTTTCCACTATCATTTCAGCATAATTAATTCTTTACAAATGATTTTCAAGATGCAAAGCTTAACTTCGTGTGGTCCTTTATTATATATCAGTTAGCCTACCAACATAAGTAAGCAATACAATTTTGTGTTAACAGTCATTCTCACCAGTTTAATTCACTAAATATTCTATTTAGATTTCAATATTGGAAAAAAAAAATTGCTTAAACAATACAGAAGTGTAAAGGGGGGAGGGGGGATGCTTAATATTGAAATTTTATTTTGGACTTACTGGAGGATGTGGAAATAGGATGTAACAAATGATGAGTTCATTAAACTTATGCCTTTATGCGCCTACTTAACTTTACAATAAAAATATAATTCTGGTCAGCCATAATTATTGATTATTACTTGCACCCGGATTGGGCAACCCTATCACCAACTGATATATGTGGCAAATGGACCTCTAAACTATACTATATTACCGTATAGTTAATAGTAGCCTATCCCATATAGTAGTATGTAGTGAGAATAGCGGAATTAAGTTTTGAATAATTAACCCTCTTGAGGCAGCTCGGCGGATCTATCGGCCCAGAGTGTTAAATGGCGAAAAAGACAAAAGACCAATCCCTACTATCTGCCCAATATTAAAAGCCTCAAAAATGGCTGGGTGGTCTTCGTCTTCATACCAGCTTAATATTGATGTTTCTCGCAATACTTGCTCATTTCGCATTTTTAAAGGCCACTTCATTTGATATTTTAAGGTGTTCTGCCATTTTATTTTATATATTATATAGGCCTACATTTTTTTTTTACCTATTGACCCCTATAAATAAATGCAGATACAAAAATATGACTTTCTTTGACTTTGATTGAAATATGTCAAAAAATGGAAAAAAGGAATTAATATCATCATCATATCGTAAATTATAAATGGAGCCCCTGGATGGTATTTTAATTTTTATGCAGAAAACTATGCAAGTAAGACATAATTATTCCAAGTGCAAAAACTTAAATAATTGTGTGAATAAATTATGCAAATCAGGATCTTTCATTTGCATAAATTTGATATTTCAGTTTGTACTTTCAACTTTGTTTCAAAAAGTAAAAGAATTAAAAGATCCTAGAATAAGTAGTATTTAGTATAATGTATAGTAATACTAATACTAATGAAAAGAATTCACGCTGAAATTAAATTAAAACTTAATTAAGAAGGACGATTGCCTTTGACGCATTTTGAAAATGAGCATCTATGTGAACTTAATATACCTAGCACGTCGTGGTTAGCATAAGGCAAGGTACCCATCTTTCAATCCATTGCAATGATCTTATTTTTAAAGACCAGTACAAAGTACTTTTGTTTACTTCCGGATATTTCAGTATTGGAAATGGCTCAGTATAACTTTGCTGTCACTTAGGTGTAAGTTTCCTCTTAAACTTAAAGACTAAAGAGTCAAGAGCTATATCAATTTTAAAGTTGACCAGTGCCCTTTTGCTTGTACTGTAGGCCCTACTGATTGTTTTATTGTTGTTGTTTTTTTGTCCTTTAATACTTTAATTCATAATGCATAGTCTGTATCAGGGCCGTTCAGAGGCCGAGGCAACCAAATAAATCACTCTGGACCCATCACGCAATAGCGAAATTTTTTGGGGTACCGGTACATTAATTTTCATTAAAAATCTAATATAATATATTGAAATTGTGTGTGTGTGTGGGGGGGGGGTGTCCCTCAAACTTTAATTTGCTCGGGACCCAAAGCAATTCTTTGTAGATTTATGGATGGACGCTATTTAAGTCGCCCCATCGTCACAATTTGTTACAAAATTTAGACACCCTCTGTGAGTTGCTGAGTGTGGGCCCTGTCATAACACATCGTCACGTCACATCATCGCCCCCCCCCCCCCCCCACCTCTTCCAAAGTTTCACACAGTTTATTAGGATTTTACTAATTAAGTTTATTTTTTAGATATCAAGTGTTAAACCCTTATTTCAAAATAAGGCTAATAAGGACAGTGACAATGGGAGGCCTATCTAAGAAATTTATTGCCTCTGCCTCTATTATCAAGCCTTTACGTCAGTCAGCTTGCTACACTTCCTCCGTAACATCTCCAGGATATAACTATGGTCTGTCTGGTAAAGGCAAATCAAAAAGGTAATAAAAACATGTCTAATAGAAGAAATAAAGTCTGCAAATTGTATATAACATAGAATAATGATAAGGTAAATAACATATTTGTCTGCTGTCTGCTTTCAACTGTTACATTATTAGTTATGGCGTTGGAAAAAGTGTTAACAATTTCCAGCTAACTTTGGCTTGTTGCATTTATGATCTGAGTCTTTTCATTATTATTTTAAATATGGCTAAATAAAATTTCAGCAAGGTTGTTAGTAATTTCCCAGTTGTCAAAGGAGAGGTGTTGTTTGGTTTACATCCTGTCAGCATGGCACTTAAATCACATAGAAGGGATGTTGTACATAATGTTTTCATCGACAAAAAGTTTCATGCGGAAGGTAAAATACAGAGTTTTGTAAATTTAATGTTCATGTTGCCCTTCAATGGGCCATCCATAAATGATGTTGGGTCATTTTGGCTGATTTGGCTCCCCCTTAAATTGGTCACAAATTTGTAACAAAAATTAGACACTTGTCACACATGGTCAGAAATTTTAAACCTTACTCCCATAACCAAAACCCTCTCTGGATGCCTAACGTCATTTAAGGATGGCACCATATAGAATCATTTGCAAGGGCACAGGGGGTCGCACATTTGGGGCCGCCCTGGTGTACATTTTGGTCATTCAGTTAAGGTACATAACTGCAACTAAACACAATTTTCGACTAATGCGCTAACTTGTAGTTGAGTCAAAGTCTGTCATTCACACAATAAATTTTAACAGAGCTCTCATGCTCTAATTAATAATTAGTTCAAGTACTAACAATAAACATTTGACACACCTTGTCTCTCAGTATTAACTCCTGAGTCTAATGACCTTGACACAGAGCCTTAGGGATCTGGTCAGCCTTAACTTTATTATCTAATTTGTCATGTGACATCAATAAAAATATTAACTATTGCAGATTAAATTTTGTATAAATAATCGCTACACCAATGAATGCAATTTCCTTTGATCATATGTATTCAGGTCTGAACAGAGGCCCCATACAATTTTCTAGGCCATTCACATTCATTTCTAATTTAATTATTTATTATATGACTGTGGCTTGGGGATGGGGGATGAAGGTGGGGATGAAAGATAAGAGGCCTCCACAAATTAGTTACAAGACCCTTTTTTGTATGGAGGGGCATTTTAGCAGATGCATTTACAAATTATTTTGTCTTCCTCTAAATTTTGTCTTCGTCTTTTTATTATGCTTCATTGGCAATGCATTATATTTATCTTTGACTTAATATCAACAGACAATGATAGTCCAGTAGGAAAAGTCTTACAATTAGCATCTAAGCACCATCATACAATTAAGGCAGTCAGTAGAGAAGTCCTAGATCAACTTTCTGGGAACAGGCCTCATCAGGTCAGGGCATATTCTTTAAAAATAAATATTTAATAACAAATTCGCAACTTTGAGCATATTATTTTTTTTAACATAATTAATAATTAACATATTTACAATGCTAACCAAAAGCTTATAAGATGCATGTTAAAAAGGTAGACAAAAAGTGACACATCACACTGAGGCACATTGCACAGTGGCACATCACAGAGTGACAAATTACAAAATAGCTCATCATACATTGGCACATCATACTTTGGTACATTACTTAGTGGCACATCACACAGGGGAGTATTACACTGTGGCTGACACACCATCACACATTACACATCGGCACATCACACAGGGCACATAACACAGGGCACATCTCACAGGGGTAAATCATGCAGTGGAACATCTGAGATTGGCACATTAACACACACAGTGGCACCTCCAAAAAGTGACACATGCACAGTGGCACATCACACAGTGTTAAATGACACAGTGGCACACTGCACATTACTCAGTGGCACATCACACAGTGGCATTCATACAGTCCACATTACACAGTGGGACATCAAACATGCAAGGGGTATAGACAACTATCAATAAAGTATTAAGAATAGAATTAAGAAAATCATATTAGCTACATTTTTTCATTATCATTTTATCATGATTTCTCTAGGGTGTTTGTATGGATGTTGACAGTCTGAGGATACCTGAATGGTGTGAACAAGATCTACCAAAAACGTAATAAAGTTGTTATATTTGGTTTTATCTGAGAACGTAAAAATTCTAATGAATATCCTTAAATCAAAACCACTAACCACGCATCATTTAAATTATTTAAATTATAGGTTTAAAAAAATTATAATTAAGAAATATTCAAACTTAAAACCACTCATATGAAACAGTTTGTGTGTGTGTTTTTTTTTAAAAAAGCAATTTTATTTTCTAATTTTTAAAATAAGCCAACTGTATTTCTGAACATATTATCTTTCCCATTCACTTAGGTCAACAAATTTTCCATTTTGGTTGTTAATGCAGAATATTATGGTAAGTAGGCTTAATACTCTTAATCTTATCACTACCTTTGATTTCTTTGCATAAATTTTTTCTTTTCTTAAGACCATATTTTAAAAATATTTGTCTTAAATTTTGCTCTATGCGTTAACAAGTGGTTTCTCATTCAAAACAGTAGGTGTAACTTCAATGTTACCTTTCACTGGTATCAAAATTTAAAAGAATTTTGGGTTATTTCATTTATGTTTTTACGTACCAAATACATGTTTGAGGATTTTTTTTAAAAAATTTTTTAAATTCATTTTTTTAATAGGATCCCATGAACTTTGGTGCAATTCTAAGGACAGCATATTATTTAGGTTTGGACAAAATCATTGTTCCGGCTAATAACAGGTTTGTGCACTTAAGATCAGACCAAAGAAGCAAATTATCTACTTAGTCAAATTAGGGTTAGAAATTTGAATTTAATTCCTCGTATATGTCAATGTCATGTGTGTTTATGACTACTATTTTCTTACCTTTTGAAGATGGCTTTTACATTACATCAAACAACTATATAATGCATAGTTATAGTATAGACCAATTCTAATATCTACTTGTATCTATTATTTCATGTATAGTTTCAGACTTAGGCCAGTTCTAAATAATAACTAATATCCATTGTATGATGCATAGTTGTAGACCTAGTCCAGTTGTCAGTAAAGCAAGTGCAGGAGCCATGGAGGTTGTTGATCTTGTCCATTTAGCACCAAATACAACTGAATCAAAACTTTGTTCTGTAAGTTATCTATTCAGTTTAACTATTCAGTGAGTCTTGAATCACAGCCAGCTTTGACTTGTTAAAAATTAAGTAAATTAGTGCAGACTGAATAAAAGTATTGTTTGATTGGAATAAGTCTAAGGACAAAAATATTTTTTATTTGTTGGTTTTTTTTTGGTGGGTGTGTGTTGGGGGGGATTGATGAAGGGTTTGTTTGCATATTGCAGCTTTTCAAACTATCTCTACAAAATTGAGAAAACAAAGGCTAACTACTTTTTTTTTTTTAATTATTGAAATAACTAATAATAATAGAAAGATTAACTTAACTGATGTAAGATCTTAAGCTTAAAATAATATTATTTTGATGTAGGGAAGTAAGAGATTTTGATGACACTTTTTGTTGATCAACATTTTAGTGGTGGAAGGATCAAGGTGGAGAAGTTGTTGGGACAGGAGTTAGTGATGATTCAAAATGTATTCAATTAAATACATTTAAGATGACAAGGCCAACTTTACTTATTCTAGGTAACTAACTATAAACTATACTATAACTATATTATTAATACAGAATGGGTGATTCAAAAATTAAATTTCAGGTTGAAAATTTTTTAATGAGAAATATTAAGGTGTCTAACATTAAAAACATTTCTCTCCAAAATTAAAAACTCCAGATAGTTAAGTTTCTTATTTTGTCTTGTCTGCTCTTGTCTGATGAAGAAGGCCTATAGCTGAAACTTTCTCCTTTTATTGTCCTATCTTTTCATTTCAGGTTTCAAATTACTTTGTTCCACTATTTCCTTCAGAGTTTGAACACTGTCCTTTATTGATGATCATTTATTCTTCAACATTAAACTTAACTACCTTATTCATGTAGCATGGAAAAATTAATTCCATTTTATTCACTATTACTAATACCCAGTAAGTCATTATTGAAAACAGACATTTTATGTGACAAACATTTTAACAAATTATTTTATTGCTATTGCGCTCATAACTTTAAAAATGTCCACAGGTAATGAAGGCAGTGGTATTAGTAAGGAACTAGAAGAAATTTGCGACACAATGATAAGAATACCAGGACAAGTCTATCCATCAACAACACAAATTGACTCTCTCAATGTATCTGTGGCTGCTGGTTAGTATATAAAAAAACCAAGTGTAGTTTGAAAGTTAGGAATTTATTGCTGTTAAAAAGTTATTGACCATTAAAATTGAGATCATTGTGCATTAAACTTTAAATTAATTAATTTGAATAATTTATTCAGAATATAACTTAATGTTCTAAATTTGCACCTTGAATTGATGAAACTTAATTTATATTCAGGAATTTTAATGCACTGGATGAAAGCATTAAGATGACCACTACAAAACTAAAGAATTCAAGGCTTTCTGTAAATGTATCATTTTATGTGGATGAAGTGGCCAAAGATTTTGAGCTGGTGTCAAGAAATTTTAAATGTACCCAAGTTAAAAATATCATTGAGTGCTCTATAAGTGCTCAGTTGCATGTTTCTATTTTATTATAATAAATAAAGTAAGCAAGCCTGAGTCCCAATACAAAAGATTTTCTTTAAGTTTCTTAATTGCCAGAATGATGGTATGCTATTTATGTTGCAACATTACATTAGTGGCAGAGAAAATCAATATGCAATATAATATTTTTCAATCTCAGATTTGGAGTTAAAGCCAATCAAAACAGGAATGGAGAGTTTTTTACAACTTAATATGACAGGACATTTTCATAAATTCTGCAAATAATATTGGAGCTTGTGTTGTCTGCAATAAGGAACTTTATAAAACTGGAGACTAAAAAGTACCATGAAAATCTTTTCACATCAAGACTGGGTTCCAGTTTACTTTTGTGATTCACACCATTTTTGGCCAAATGTGCAGAAAATTTTATATCTGGGATTGGGATACTACACTATATGAAAAAACATCAACACCCATTTCCATATATTTTAAAATTAGAAGCCACAACAAAGTAATATCAGATAATGGAGAACTTTTCATCTGGATACTAATAGTAAAATGGAAATAATTTATATTGAGAATAAATTAAAATCAAGAAAAAAACTTCCCTGCGATGAGATATTTAATTTGTGAGCACTGGTAAAACAAGAAGTTAGACAAATAGTGGGTGCCATAACAATTAGCCAGCTTATGGCCAAACAGCAGGTAAGTTAGTTGGCTATCTGGTTAGAAAGCCTCTCCATAAATCCACAATGCAACACTTCAGTTGAAGAAACTCCGATTTCAGGGCCAGAGGACAACCATGACGACAGTGGATTAGTTGTGTAAAGGCTAAGGACACGCTAAAAGTCCACAACATGAACCTTCAGAAGGCACCCTAGTGACTGATCACCCAACCACACCTCCCCTGTAGAAACAGGCAGCAAAAGATAAACTGTGGTACACCGACTCATTTAGTGAAACCAAATCCACAATTTTACATTGCTGCAATAGTTTCACTATTTGTTATACTTCACCAACAAGCAGATTTCTACATTGAGATGTGCACACTTTTCTTTCATTCCTCTGCTTTTTTATTTAATTAATTATGTTTAAAAAATAAATTTTGTTTTAAAAATTGACGAAGGCATGTAGTGTATTAGAAAAGTTAACATTTGTATTTTGTTAACCATTCTTTTTAATTATGGTACCGGTACATAAATTGTTGTCAATCTGGTATCTCTTGCCAAAAGAATTACTAACGTAACTTTTTTCACTAGTCATAATCATATAAAGTATAAGTTTCTTGAGTGTATGATCGTAAATGGGGAGCATTATATTTATATCATAAGTACCATACCTGTAATATTAATAAGCGATTAAAACAAAATAGATTTAAGAAAAAAGTTTATTTTCCACCACACATTATTTAAATTGTATAAGATTTTCAAATGATCAGTTTTCAATCATTATTTCTATTAAAACATAAAACAAAATTGCTGCTGTTATCAGCTGTGCCAAAATAGAGAAAGAATATCAAAACGCTGCGAGCTCTTCAATTTCTTACCATTAATAATTTTAGTAAACAAACAAATATTCTTAAAATTCACAAATCTACAAATTTTTACATCATTTGTCTGAAGACAAGATTGTTTAGAAAGTGGGTAAAGAATGTGAGAAGCGGGATTAATGTATGTGGCAGTATTCTGGCCCTGTAAGGAAATAATACGTACAATTTCTATTAGTTGATGTTTACTTAAAGTTAACACATTCCTAAAGACAAATAAAAAATTTCCAGTCTGTACGTCAAAACTTACACAATGATTAGAAGGAAGTGACATTTTGGACTTACAACATATACTAGTAAAACTAGGAAAGAGAGAAACAAGACAAGTTAAAGCAGGATCAAAACTAACAAAAAACATTGTGTATTTATAATTCAAATACTTCCTTTAAATACTGAACAACTTAATGTGAACTTTATCACTTATTAAATCACACGATTAAAATGTCATAGAATGTGAGAGATGTTATCAAAACTCCAATGTTGGCAGTAGCAATGAAACCGTGTGGTCGAAGGCTTTGAGAACTATCTGGACAGACTTTCTCACTTGACAGCGATGAGAACCAATAAGACTAGTAAGACCTCTGTTGTTGGGGATTGTTTCTCTGCTGATGCTGACGTCCACCACGCCCACCTAGAAAGATACACATTTGGAATTATATATCTATAACTATAACAACTTTTATGACTTTAAATTAAGCTTGTTAGGTCCAAAGCATTAGTTTCTTTATTTAGATCCTTGCAGCATAAGTTTATTCAATGTAAATTGAAATGGGGTACATAAAGGGAGAGCTGGCAAATAAACTATTCAGACAAAACCTCGTTTTGGCCAACCCTTGAGTATTTTATGGTTCTACAAACTAAATAAATTTAAAAACTTACCCCACTGCTGCTGCTGCTGGTTTTGATTCTGGAAATTATCTCTCTGATCTGTTGCAAATAAAATAAAAATCAATTAAGTAACATTGTGATATATTTTTTAAAGAAAATAATTTGCTTCTCCCTCTTATTGTCAAAACACTCCACAAATATTTCTAATAACTAGAACAAAGTACCCGTACCCTAAGCAAACAAGATATAATAATATATTTGTCAGTTACAATTTTTAAAAAATTCCAATGTTTGCATTATAAAAAGTATTATTTTGTTGCATGCTAAGCATAATTTATAGTACCATTAAAACTTCTAAAACTGATTTTACTGAAACTTTTTGAAGTCAATTAGCCCCTTGTTTCATTAAACCAATATTATCTAACAGGCCAAATTCAAATAAAAATTTTACAAAATAAAAAAAGAAAACCAATAACTTAACAAACACAAAACTAAAAACAGACATATTTTAAAAAAAAAAAACAACACCATTACCATATCCTATGAGGATGCAAAAGGGAAAAATAAAATGGAAAGTGTTGAGAAAAGCATAACCATAATCATAATATATGATAACATCAATGATCAAGTTTGTATTATTGTAATTGGTATTTTGTAAATACATGTTTCCATATTTGGTTCAGGATATCCATTTCTGTTTTAAATTGTCATCAAACTGTTACCAGATTAATGACGACCATCTCTCTACTTACTGTGATAAATATAAAACTAGTAGATTTACAGTTGACAGGGTTTATAAAAGCTAATGTTTCCATTTACAGTAGCAGAAAATTGTATAAAAGATAATCGATACCGTATATTTAAGGCTTTAGTTTTAACCCAATGTCATGTAAAACTAACATAGAACCACTTAAGAAAAACTGGGATTATTCAAATAAGCAATTTTTGAATCATTGAGCTGAAAATGATGCATCATGAAGAAGAGCTCAATTTTTTTTAAAATTTAAATACTGGTAGCATTTTTGTTTTTGTCCCTCATTTGTTTCACTGGCATTAATTAAGGCTGCTAAACTCAGCATAAATAGTAAAGTTATGATGAAATATGTTGTTTAATAAAAAGTTAATATTTATGATTTCAGTCATCTTTATGTAAATATCAATTTAACAGTGCTTAATATATTTGACATTTTAACTTAACCCTCTAGAGACAGATGGTCAGTGACGAAAAAGGCGAAAGGCCAATCCATCAGCCACATAATAAAAGCCTAGAGATTGGGTGGCTGGTCTTTGTACCAGCTAATCAGATTGCTTCTCGCATTTCTTGCCCATCTTGTCATTTGATATCAATTTTACCCCTATAAATGCTTTTAAAATCTCATTTGCATAAATGTTGAGATTTCAGTTTGATTCATAAAGATTGTTTTAGTTAATTCTTCCCTAAAAGTTATATAGAGTTTTATATTTGAAAAGTGATTAGTATATTTTTCATTATTTATTTTTGTGCAAAATAAGTGCAGGGCTTGTGAAAAGGGCTCCATCTTCTTGGCAATAACAGTGTAAAAAAAAGGATTGTCTCAAAAGGGTTAAAACATTCTTTGCTTAGAATAATTTAAGTGCTAATGTTTTTAAATAAGAAAACATAAGTAACAAAATATAGCCTCTTATTTTAGGCAGAATAAATAGAGGTGACTACCACCTCAACAATTATGATACTGTAAAATAAAAAACTGATAGCATTGTCAAGAAAAAGAACCATAGCCAGAAAACAACAATGTCAAAAAGGTGTCAAGTGTAGGATTAAGTAAGAGTTGTTGAAAAAATGAAGTGATTGGGTAACTATGTTTGGTAGTAGGGAAAGGGGAAAATTTACCAGGCTTTGTCGCAGGATGGCCTTAATAAAATATATAATAATTTTATTTATTAACTTTTGGCCAGCATACACACTTTAAAAAACAAAATTGTCAACTTGACTAGTGAGACTGAAGATAAGATCATTTGTGATAAAGATACAACGTACTTACGCCACTTCCCCCAAAAAATCCTCAAGAGTATTTGAACTAATCTCTAAACTTCTAAAATTAACATGTATTAAATTTAACCAAAAAGAAAACTTTGGTTTTGGGAAATGAACTCTATCTTTAAATACTTTTAGGATATAGAATTTATACACACAAAATTCTGCTATTCCATTCATCAGTGTATATACTTTAGAGACAAATAAATTTGGACTATAATTTGAATGAAATTTGCCAACGACAACATACTGACACAAGAAATGTGAATGAATGTTCTTTTTAAACAATCAGCAGCTCATATGTAAAGACTCATTCAATTACTTTGTTATCCCTAGTTTTGTTCAAATGCAAGAAAAAATGCAAACAAACTTACTGCTCTTGTTGAAGAAGAAGTTGCCCTGTTTGATCTCCATGATCCTTTCATTATTGTCAACAAGGGAGCCAACCTTTTCTGACAGTTGCAGGGCCAAAGATTGGAGACGAGTTGGTTCTGTTCTGTGCATCACAACTATTTGGGTAGGTTCATCTAGCGATGCCTACAGAGCATGCAGAGCAGTGAAAATACAATCTTTTATAAGTTTTATTTTAAATTATAATTATTAATAGAACATGCATATTTTGCCTCCACACTAAATACACATTTTTAAAAACACAAATTAACAACAGAACCTATTTAAATTTCGTTAGCGATAAATGTCCATGATGATAAATTTCCATGACATATAACCTACCTACTGTATTTCCCCCCATCTCCATAACTAACATATGAGGTTTCATACAAATTGCAGGCAGTATTAAAGTAAAGAAGCACTGGGATCAGTGTGGTATTCTCAATTTTTAAATGCAATGTCAGCTCAGTTTAAATAAAGTAAGTCTGAAGTTATTCTCAGCCTTGATCTCAGAATGTTTCTGCAACACCTAGTAATTCTCTCTTCTATTCATTTCAGGAACATTTCCACTTCAGATGTGGGAGTAAAATTTATAACACTAAGCCAATTTTTACAAGGCTTGATATGACTTGATTGTCTATTTTAACTTATGGTTTCCTCAAAGACAAATATAAAGATGCCAGCTAAAGATAAATGTATTTATATTAGTAGAGTAGGATATAAAGAGTTATCTGAATCTTCATACCATTAGCTCCTCATTGATAATCATTTTGCTAATTGTTGCATGAGCCAAAGTGGTGTCAATCTTAAACATGGCTGCCAAACTGTCAAGGCTAAGAGAATCATAGAGTGAGGAGTAGCGAAACAGGTAAGTGCGAAGTGATTCTTCCTGGATCTTGGCACTAATCATGTCCCTTACTTTGTCTGCTTGGAAAAACAAGTCCCAAACCTGTAAATAAGATGATTATATTTTTCAATTTTATTGGTTTAAAAGAATTAACTCATTCCCGACGGTTGCGACTAAATGCGTCCTCGGGGGGTTTCTCCTGATGCGTCCAAATGCGTCCCGGCGCATAGCGACACACCTCTTTTATTTTTAGTTAAAAATAGCAATGAAATCTTGCGTCCCTCGAGACTTCCGGCTATGGCGTGATTTCTGCGTGATTTTAATTTAGAAACCGGAAGTTTTTATCTTGTTTCACTTTAAAACTATGTGTGCTTTAGTACGGCGCGTCTATATGTAGCATGTGTTCGTCCGAGGTGCCGAAAATCGATTTTTTTGGCCATTGTTCGTTATTTTTTCCCCGCTAATGTTATATTTATATTAAACCTTATTCATTTTTTGTTGCATTTGTTCTTAATTCATTAACATTAAATAATATTTAGCAACTTAAAAAAAAATATTTTTTAAAATATAAATCAATTTCAAAACTGAGTTGCTTCCCTTTTCTCGGGAAAATAAATTAAGTCCGGAAGCAGCGCTGCCGGAGGGAATGAGTTAAGTAACAAGAGATTTTGAGCTTATATGAGATGTCTGGTATACATAAACTTAAACGAGGCCTCTCTTGTTCACCTTTGCATTCATTTTCTCATTTATAATATAGTCTCTGCATTTCTTCCAGTCACCATTCTTCATGGCCTTGCTGGCAGCTACAACATGTTCCCTCATGCTTTCTGGTGGGCCTGTAAGGGTTTGTCTTTCACTCATCTTGAGAACGTGGTGGAAGTTTTTGCTGATCATTCTCTTGCGTACATCCAATTCATGGGCTAAAACATAGAATCATTATGCTGAAATGTCATAAACATTAATCTTATAAATTTTATTATCAACCATAATGGGAGTCCCCATTGGTTAACCTGTTCAAATTTGTGTGCTCATTTGAAACCACATCCAAAGAGGAAAAACTCTAGCCTAACCATAGATAGGTTTAGAACAAGAATTATAACAAATCTATTGAACAGTGTTTATTTGAAATAAATTTATTTGCATTCATAATTGGTTGTTTTATGCATTGTATTACATCATTTCCCAAAGCTTATCATTACAAAATATGAAATCGGCTGTTACAGAGTTGAATAGTTTAAACATTAAGCTTGTAAAGGATGATATTCTTATAAATGAATGTAATCTAAGTTTAATTTGACAACTGAAAATTAAGAACATTTGCTTTAAAAGATCTAAGACAATAACATCAAAGACCATTTTGTGAAATTCAACAAAAAAAAATTAAATTAATTATTCATCTCACAAATCTAATTTAGTTTCATAAATAGCTCACCAGCCATGTAAGGGATTTCAAGCAACATAGCAGATACAAGATAGACACACTCAAGTAACTCCAAGTTTATATGTTTATGATAAGGCAGGAGACGTCTCTTCTCAATCTTTTCTTGTTCAGGGGAACGTTCATGCTGTCTCTGAGGTACCAAACCCTAACAAAAAATAAATTTAAAAATCAGAAATGTCAGAAGTGGTAAGGAAAATGTATGGGTTTTTTTCACAGTTGTTCACCTGAAATGCATTAGTTTACGCCAACAAATGTGGGTTGTTTTTTTAAATCTTTAAGTGTAAGAAATTTGCATATTAAATTTAAAAATAACATAAAATTCAACTCTATTTACTAACAAAAGCATTATTTTTATCAATGTGACTACCAACCTGAGCCAGTAACTCCTTAGCTCTGTTGCTACTCTGGATATCTACTAATGCATTGTGGGCATCACGTATGTGGCCTTGTCGGAATCCACAAAGTCCAAGTTGCACAAGGGTGCGATTGTACAAAATCTATTTTTAAAATGTAAATCAGCAAAAATTAAAATTAACAATGCCGCTCATTTAAATATCTAAGAACAGTTTTTACAAAAACACATCATATAATTTTGCATAAACTTTTACAAGGCTTGATAAAAAACACACACCTAAACATTAGAAACCATTCCATGTGTATCAGTGTTAGGTTGTGCAATTTAGGACAAGGTCACTGAGAATTTGGTCTATATTAATTTTTTTCCCCCCTACTTGTGCTTATTTCAAAGGCTTACCTGACCCCTTATAAATGCCAACCAGATAGTGAAGACCAGGTAAAGTAAAATCTGCACTAGTTCTTTTGGTGAGCTTGACCAGCTAGTGAATGAGCCACCACTTGGAAACCCTACTTTGGCCTGATTATTATTTGAGAAGGAAAAAAAATACAATTTTCTAAAAATAAGAACACACCTGTGTTGAGACATCAGAATGCTGAATGTTATCTTGCAAGTGGGACATTAGCATGAGATCCCTGGCTTGATACCATCTATCATGGAGAGCATGGTGATATATGTGACACAACATTGCTCGTGTGCGCAGACGGTCTGTACTATCCTTGGCGTAAATGAACTTGCACATTTTATCCATAAGGGCTTGAGAACTTTTTTCCTGATTGAAAAAGTAATTATGTTTTTTGAAAGAAATATTTGAAATGGAAAGTAACCTCTGATATTGATATTTTAAAAAAGATGCCATTTGATGTGTAGAAAGTATAATTTAAGATTTCATTACTGTTACATATCTGAATATATTTCCAACATTTGAAAACTGATATTTCCTTTCAGTGTATTTCTCTAATATAGTTTCTCTTACACAAAACATTTTCATGATTAAAACTTAAGTTTAAAAACAACCAGGGAAAATTTTGTTTAAACTTACTGCAGCCTCTTGTTTCTCAGAACCCCCAAAATCAGTGGGGTCAAACTGAAACAATGCAAGTTTCATTCTTTATCATGAGACAAACCAGAAAGAGATTAATCAAATACAATTTAAAACTCAGACTTTATATTAAAATTATATTTTTATAAGGAAAAATTCAAAGATGTGAATATCACAAAAATTTTCTTCTAAAGAATTATTGACTATATACAATGTCTTTCAATATTATTGATGTCATTAAATAAAGGAGTAGCAAGTATAATAAAAAAAAAAAAACTAAAAAATATTAGTACAAGTTCAAGTCAATTAAAGCCCATAATAAGAATTATTAACAGCATTTATAGCTTAACTTTTGAGATTATAAGCAATTGTTATTTTCTTAAAATTTATTAATTTAAAAAATATCCTTACCTTATAATAAAGATGTTCAATTTTTCTAAGATAGATGCGACACACTTCCTCGCTACTACCAATTTTCTCCAAGTATTTTTCCAATTTGTTTATAATATCACACATTGCTTGCTCATCTTTCAAACTGGAACAAGTAAAAATGAATGATTAAATAACAATAAAAACAGCTAACTCCTGGAAAATAGAAATCTGATACACAGAAATAATTTGTAGCAGAAACTAAAACGGATAAAAAAGAGTTACAATTTTGTCAAAATATCAATCTCCATTTAAACATATGCTGATATGGTACCTAACCTTAAGTTCAAACAAACTTCTTTATTTTATTAATTTTAAAAGTGTAGAAATAAGAGCTGAAACAAAACTAAAATTAAAATGTAAAGGAAAAATTTGGTTTAATGATTAAAAAATAAAAATAATTGATATTCTTACCGCTCTACAAACTCTGTACTGTGAGCATCACAAGCTTGCAACATTTTGGTGAACTCCTCATCTAGACGTTCTACCATTGTCAGGATGCAGCCTCGTATACGATAAGGGGCTTTCTATGCAGATTTGAGGTTAAATGTTAGCAAAAGTCAAGTAATATTAGACTATAAAGTAAATTTACAATTAATTAAAACTTAAATAACTTAAATAATTCTGACTAAGAAAATTGTACAACGTTTTCAAACATTAAATTAAAAAAAATAATATTAATTAAGAAGTAATATGGCGCTAAACATAAAATAAATTTTGGTTGAAGAAATGCATATAAAAATTGTAGGATTATACACAGTGATAAAAAATCATGTTAAAATTTGAATAACTATTGAATCAGTTACTTTGTCTTTGAGAAAAATAATAATAACAGACTTACATCTAACTGTTCACTCTCTTCAAGAATGTTCTCACCAACAGCAATATCACTGTTTTCAACCAAAGTATTGAGTAACTCTTGGATGGTAGGTAGACAAGAGCTAGTGGGAGAAGAATTTAAACAAAATTTAAAAAAAAAACACAAATTATTTTAACATCAAGATAACATTTAAAAGGAAAACTTTTACAAAGAATTGATTGACAAAAGTGATAAAATTTATTTCTTAATGAATGTTGCCGACTAAACAGTGGACCTACTAAATGATCTTAACATATTCAATCAAATCTTTCAAGGAGTACTTTTTTAAGATAAAAAAATATTTTCATGTTTCAAAAAAAAAAAATAAGTCCATCACAATCATAATTGTAAATATATACAGATAAAATATGAATTATTTATTGTGAATGTAATAAAATATTTCAAGCTTATGAACTTCAGAATTTAGAAGGAACCTTTCACTTACTTTTCCCACATTTCAGTTTTCATGCAAGTGGCAATATTAGGATTGTAGTCATAGATTGCAGCCATTATATTGAAGCAGATTTTCACAGAAATAGGCTGGCCCAAATTATTGGTTTCAGCAATCTGCTTCAGCTCACGCAGCATATCAATCATCACTGAACGATCTGTTCCTTTCTTGCCTCTCATAGCAATGATCTCATTCAACTTTTTAACTACAGCCTCAACAGTTATTTCCTGATCTTTGGCAAACATCTTTGGCTTTTCCTGTGGTCACAAAATAAAGACCAAGATGAATTTTTAAACACCATAATTTGTAAACATATTATCCTATAAGAATTCAGGAAAACTATTTAAATACTCAAGCAAAATTAACACATCAAAACTAAAAATAAATAAATAAAAACATACCACCACAATCTGGCTAGGGGCACCTCGCATAACTTCTTGCCATTCTTCCTCATCATCATCTTTCCTCTTCCCGTCTTTCTCCTCCTTTTTCAGCCTCTTTTCTCTCTTTCTTTCCTCTCTTCTTTGAGCTTCCTGCTCCGTAGTTCTAAAATAAAACAAATTAGAGATAAAGTAATAACCGTGTAAATAGAAACATAATATTCCTTTGTTGACGACAACTAACGAACTGATTTTAATAATAATTTTTTTTTCATTATTGTTGACTTACGATTTCAAGAAATATTCTGCCGTCAACTTGCCCATGGCTGGCATTTCGTCATCAGAAGATGAACTTTCTTCACTTTCATCAGATCCCCAATCACTCTCATCATCATCGTCATCATCAGCCTACACGCAATGCAAAATAATTATGTAATCTAACCTATCTTGCTGCCAAGTAAAATTAATTTTTCAGTAGATGAAATTGATCTGCAACAATTTCTCAAATACAAAAATAATTTTATTATAAAGCCACAAGAGATTACTGAGAATTATCTTAAAAACAAGCTCTACTTTTCTGAAGAGCTTGAATCTCATTTTTTTAAACAAGTATTACCTATAAAAACTACATTACTAATCTTCAAGTCTCTCTGTTATGACTTTAAGACATAATAAATTAGAACTTATCTATTCTCAGCCCATTATTTTTATTAGATGATTTTTTTTTTAAAGTTTAAACTAAGATTGACAACATAAAACTTCAAATGCTGATTTTAAAGCCTGTGAACCTCAGAACTAATGACAAAGCAAAGCTAGAAGTATCACAACTTACAGGAGGTCTGACCACTTTAGCAGGCTTGTCTTCTGTTCTTTTCACAACAGGTTTAGGCGTTTCCTCTTCACTGTCTTCATCTGCAGGCTCTGAAATAATATCCGAATTCAGCAATCAACAGGGCATGTTTAAATTTTTCAATATAATTTATAACAGAAAGTTCCATGTCAATCAAAAAAGACTGATTTTCAAATGTAAGGTTAATAAGTATTTTCAAGGAGCTATATCTCATGCTCATAACAAATGTGCTTACCTTTGAAATCTTCATCATCATCTGCATCATCATCCCCTGCATCTGGATTCTGAAAAGATGACAAGAAATGCTGTTTTATTATATGTCTTACAAATTATTTTAGAGACTTAGCGCTGTTAGAATTAGCACTGATTTTCTTATTAGCTTACATCAATGAAATGTGATGAAAGTGAAATTCATGTGGGTTTTCTCTCATGCAAAGCAAAAGGTTTAAATTAAAAAAATTCAAATGATTTGGATAACAATTGCACTTACAGCTTTATAATTGGTAATGTCTGCCTCGAAGTCTCTGTTGTACTTTTTAATTTTTTGTCGCACAGTAGACAAACCCTTGGAGTTGTTTTTACTGATGGTTTTTCTCCACTCCCTGTCCTCCCAACACTTAATGTTAAAAAAAAAGAAATTATTAAACATTCTTAAAGGATATATTTAAAATAATAAAAAGAGGTATAAATTAAGACGTTCTACTAATAAGAAAACACTTTCAAAACATAGGAGCCAGAATGATCAATACATTGATCGTGGGCCCTTAGTATATAGAAGAAGAAACAGTATCTAAGTTGTATAATGGTTAATCCCTGAAATACAGTTTGACACATTTTGAAATATTAAACTTTTCTTAATATTTTCATCACCTCATTGATGAAATCTTCCAACTCCACCAAAGTTTTGATATAGAATCTAGGTACACCTTCTTTATCCACAACTTTTCTAGCCTTTTCAAAGGCTTTGATCAAGCCTTCAAAATCTGTAAAAAATAAATTGGGGTTTGAGTAAATAAAATTATTATGGCAAGTGCAAAACAAATAATTAAAGTGGAAAAAAAAAAGAATCTAAATAATACTTATAAAATAAATATAATAAACTCCAATTGGTTGACTTAAGTTAAAAATTCAAAGCTCAGATTTATAATATATGATGAAACATTTTATAGTAGTATTTAATTGTTGTTTGTCCATTGAAGATCAACTAGGACCATCGTCCGGTGTTGGATGACTGATGACTTTTGTTTAAAGTGAGGAAGAGTTGCGCAGCATCAACCTCACTCTCTCGTCAGAGCCCACCATGTCCACTGGCAAGACTATGTCAAAGCGACCAGGGATGGGTACGGATGCAGGAGTTGTTGGATTTTTTCACTGTATACGCCTTACGGGATTCCATCTTCGGGTTTGAATTCAGAGTTTCCTTCTCTTAGAAGGGTTGCCGACCAAGGTTAACGCGTCCCATCCACCCGGGGTGCTGGTGATGTTTTTTGCTTGACTGGCCTTTGGCTGGAATTGAACTCCACCACCAACTTGAGGTTTGCTCAGTTTATATCATTAGGCCACCCAGCCATCTGGGTATTATTTAAAGTATTTTATTACTTCATAAGTGTATTATGATTAAATAAAAATTAAAAGCTTTCAAATACCTGTCAACACATTAGCAAAGTCTTTAATTTTCTTGTGATTTTTCAGCTGCTTGACAATGGTTAGAATTTCATCATATCTATTGAGAAAACATTTCAAGGCTTAAATTTTTTTCAAAACATGTCATATCAGGTTAAAACAAAATTTATATAATTTATGAATTCCAACACTGTATTTCACAACTCCACCTAACTTACGCAACAAAATATGCATTTTTTTGTTATGTTGCTGTCTTTCTGATGAAATAAACGTATTCTATAAAGACTTCAGTCCATAGATTTCACCATGCCAGATCATTTGTTGTTTTTATGCTTCGTTAAGTGTATAGTAATACAGGAATCTGCTATTACCAGTTTCTAAATTTATAGTCTGTGTATTTATTTTAATTTATACATTAACAAAATATTTTCAGGCTCAATTTTTATTTATAACTTTTTAGAGCCTTCATTTGAATGCTATTTAACATCTTCACCATAAAACATCCCTTAACTGTCAAATGTCTCAACATTATATTGATTTGTAAAATGCCAACAACATAATGTATTTATATTAAATTACCTCTTGTCCTTTTCACTACGTACAACACGTCTTGTTTCTTCTTCATCATCACTGAACTGCATAGTCCTAAATATAAAAAAAAAACAATCAGCATTCATATATGCATTATAACAATTCACTGAAAACTTTAAGTTAACTTTGCAAAAGACTCTAGAGATAGACTGATATATCACTGGCATATTTATTGGTCAACATATACATTTGATATTAAAAATCATTATATGTCAAGATAAGACAATTTTGTTTTTATTTTAATACCTTGCTGGCGCCGTAGGGCGCACATCCTGTACTCCATCATCACTTGACTCTGATTCACTCTCACTGTCTGAGCCAGCTCTAAAAAAACGTGACATGACTACCTGGAATTAAGAAGATAATATTTAACCTAAAGCCCCTAAAATGACAGATACACATCAACTTTATCACTACTCAACATTTAAGGACATAATTTTAAATCAGCCATTAGACAGTTATTGGGGCTTTGAATATAGGATGGTTTTATCAAATTTGTTCCAAAGCAGACTTAGGTGATATACTTGAAAGTCTCTATGGTTATAACACTCCGCCCCCAAAGGTGAGGGAAGGGGTCGCATCACTCCAGAAATTGGAGTTGAAAATGTCCCGCACATGAAACAAAGACCACTAAAACAACTTATTTGCCTGCTATCAGATGACTCACAACTGTCAAAAACAAAAACAATGTATTCCACCTGTGTGGGAAGGGGGCAGCGATGGGGAAGGTCCACCCCGGATGGCACTTTATCCCCTTACTCCTCATAAATCATTTTGTTTCATATTTTGGTATTGAAAGTTGTAGGAAAATTATGGTAAAATGTCACAAGTTATCAAATATTTCCTAAGCTATTGTGCAGACACCCATTTCCAATACAAAATTAAGTAGTAGTCTCCAACTTTGGTAACAGAAGTTTTAGCATCTGGGTGTTCCGATTTTCAACTTATCAAAAGATGGCACTTTTAAATTTTATTGTGCATCTTATTTTTTCCCTGACCACTGGTGTTGGGTCTTGAGGTATCAGCAAGGATGTGTTTCTTTTTTCGTTTCTTTTATTATTTAAAACTTTAAGTAAGTCTAAGTTGAATTTTAATAAAACATTGGACAATTTCATTTTAATATACTTCACATTAACCGAATCCATAATCAGGTTTCGTTCAGCATATGAGTAACGAATGCTAAGTGAAGAACAGGAATTTTATCACACCCATCGTTCAGGTCCAACAATAAATAATAAGTCTATTCATAGGCACTTTGGTAAAGCAAGGGACACTCCTAGAAAATTTGTATCAGAAATGGACGTCAGCGCAATGGAATCCAAGTTTTAATTTTTTTTAAGTGAGTGCAATTTTAATAATACAGTAGTCCTTTTGGCCCATAATTAAGGTCGACTCCGCCCATTCACGTTAGGAGAAAAGTTGACCTACATTCTCATTGTTTTTTGTTCTTTATATCAACTTTCAGTGAGGAAAAATGTATGTTAATATAAGGCATCTTTGCATTAAAAAATTTGAACAAATATTCAAAGTAGGTCTTTCATATTAAAAGTAGGCCTGCATAATTTATTGAGTTATGTGTGCTAGGGGTGTGCCGGACCCCGGTCCGGAATCCGGTTCCGCCGGATTTTGCACTATCCGGTGAAATCCGGTTCCGCCGGATTTACATGTATCCGGAACAACCGGATTCCGGAATTCGGAATATACCGGATTTCGGAATTTGCCAGATTTTGTGACTCACCGGATCATAATCTGAAATAAAAGTAATTCTCTTTCCCGAATTCCACACGATCACGATACATTAATCGATTGTTTCGAGCGTTGAGCTTGTTTAATGTTTAATATTCCGTACATACCAGAGGCTAGAGTCAGCACCGCTAATAGTGGCCAATAGTGTAGGGACTTTGATAAGAAAATTTAAACTTTTTGTAAAAATAAACCAATGGCATAGTTGAAAAGATGTAATTTTTTAAAGAATTATAACACCAAAATCATATTTTTAGCTGTTGTAGTTTTAAAGTTATGAATTTTTAAAGTACGACTTGGTTTGTCATTTTTTAACATGGACTGCATCTCCACATTCTGTGATCTCATTCCACCAATCCCGTCATGCGCAATGACTATATAGTTTATATAAGGCAACGCATTCCCTGCCTTATCACTAAAATACTGTTTAGACTTAGTTTAAACTTTCAACTTTGGCACATGAATAATTAATTAAAGCTTTCCCTGACCAATGGTTTAATAGTTTTTGCACACGGCAAACTCTTATGAATGAAACTCTGAGGTAGTACTACGATACAGTTATGCAAGTGGCTGTGAATGGTTGCCAATGACAACGTGTTGCACACGGTAAATTCTGATCATTTATAATATGGATTCTACCGGGTTGTTAAAGCTCAAATTAAAACATTCCAGTTTAAATGTCTTTAAATGCATTCTGAAACACAAGTTATCAATTATTTTGATGTAAATAGTGATAATAAATTAATATTTCCTAAGTATCGTCAACTTCCGCCATTAAAAAGGGGGGCGTGGCCAACCCCATGGCGAAATTAGGTTGAGCGAGCTGCATAACCTGCTGCGAACGCGTAGAAACATGGCGTCTCTCGTAAGACACTTATCCAAATGGAACGGAACTCAAATATATATCGAAAGTACTAATTTAATAATAAATAGACACACACATCGGAAAATTAAAAACTCGGATTTTTTGGCGCCGATTGCGAATTCCCATACACAAAAAGTAGTAGTCCACCTTGACTTACCGAAGTATCTACCAATAGTACCAAAATCCGGAATCCGGGAGAAACCGGAATCCGGATCCGGCGGATTTCGCATAAGAAAATCCGGATCCGGATCCGGTTGGAAAAAACGGATCCGGCACACCCCTAATGTGTGCAAAATTTCATTGCACTAGCTCCTAAACATTTTCGCAAATCTCCTCTACGTAGACCTCATTATGCAAAGGTCGCACAGGCCATTTTAAATTAGTGACCACGCCTCCTTTTAAATGGCATAAGTGAAGTCGGAAGACACTGATACTTAGGAAATATTCAATTATTACCACTATATATATCAAACTATTTGATAACTTGTGTTTCAAAATGCATTTTGAAGACATTTCAAATGGAATATATTAATTTGAGCTTTAAAAACCTGATAGTCCATAGTATAAATGATCAGAATTTTCAGAGTGCAAAACGTTGTCATGGGCAACCATTAGCAGCCACTTGCATAATGGCTATATACCGTAAGCACTATCTCAGAGTTTCATTCAATACGAGTTGTGCAAAAATTATTAAACCATTGGTCAGGGAAAGCTTTAATTAATAAGGCATGTGCCATAGTTGAAAGTTCAAAATTAAGTAGCCCCCCCCCCCCAAAAAAGAAACCACAGTATTATAGTAATAAAGGGATATGTTGCCTTATATAGACTATAAAGCATATACCGGTATAATAAAAATTAATAAACCAATGGTCAGGGAAAGGTTTAATTAAAAAGGCATGTGCCATAGTTGAAAGTTCAAAATTAAGTAGCCCCCCCCCCCCCAAAAAAGAAACCACAGTATTATAGTAATAAAGGGATATGTTGCCTTATATAGACTATAAAGCATATACCGGTATAATGGACGCAGTAGATTTGGTAACCAGAAAAGCCATATATTAATACATTATTTTAAATTTACTGATATACATAGTACATAGTTAGATAAGCTACAATTGTATAACATTATTAAAATTATTTTTAATGCAGCATTAGTTCTGAAAATAAAAGTCATATAAAATTATCAATAAATCGAGAGTTGTATAGCTCGTGACGCGAACAGTGGAATCGGGTCACAGAATGTGGAGATCTGGTCTATGTTAAAAAAGGACAAACTATGTCGTACTTTAAAAATTCATAACTTTAAATAACTACAACTAACAACAGCTAAAATATGATTTTGTTGGCGTTATAATTCTGTTGGTTTGTTTCAAAAGTACTTACTACTCAATAGTATTCACTCTAAGTCTCAAATCAGTGTTGGGATTCCCCAAAAAGTAACATCACTATCACTGCATTTAGGGTGCAACAACTCTTGGCAAAAACCCATACTCTTAACTAGTGTTAACTCAAAATTTACCATGTAGCTATTCATTATTTTTTTTGGCTGTCTCTAAACTGAATAATTCATTGTTAATGATTGTTCAATTGTTGTGAATTGACTTGAATTGTTGGTTTGTTTAATTGAAGATCGATCTGCTAAATTAGAGGTTTTGGCTAAAATTAAGGACGGATGCCTCGGCGTCTTTTGTCTTTGTGTGTTTATTATAGTTGCAGTGGATTAGGGTTTAGGTTAGGCTAGGTTGAGGGATCGATTTAGGGTTCAGGTTAGGAATAGGGATCGATTTAGGGTTCGGGTCAGGCATAGGGATCGATTTAAATTTAGGGATACATTCTCATTCGTGAAATTCAATAAAATAGTGGCATTCGTCCTTAAAATTTACAGAGGTTTTTAAGTAAAATGTATTGTATTTACCAAATTAATTTCTTGCGCTAAAAAATAAGGGATTACCTATTATAACATATGACAGTCTTGACTGTTTACGATTAGGCCCTAAAAATAGGCTAACTTATTGTTCAATATTGGTAGATTATCGATAATAGGAATCTTTGATCCGGAAACATTTTTACAAACAATCTTTTCATATTCAGCAAGATGAATGTAGGCTTCACTTACAGAGATACGAAAGTTAACCAGTTTAATTTTTTGAAAAGCAATCTTAGTTCTTACCTCTTGGGAAATGAGTACACGGATTCAGAAATATGTGTATTTATTTATTTTATAAAAATCAAGACGGTCCACAAGTACATTTCCTCCCGGCATGGGACGTGAACGAACTACGTCAATAAATGTATATCTATTTAACGAAATGAAAAAAAAATTATGTTGTTGTTGCCATCTAGGACCGTTGTCGTTGATTTTTTAAAAATATTTAAGAAACTAAACCTGGAGAAAGATATGAATTCACAAATGAATGATTAGATTTAAAACATTTTTATCTTAAAATGCACTATTAATTATTATGTTCAGTGACACACCGTTCTCCATTAATTTCAAATTGAAATAATTTTTTTAAAGTCTTTTTCGTTGAAGAGCATCGTCCATGAACATCATTTTACTTCGAAAATCAATCATCCAGAATGATTCAGTTTTATGGTGGTGTCTCTTTTTTCTTCCTTAATACTAATTAGAGTATAATTTATTTATTTTTTCTTTTACTATAATATTATTTTTGAAAATCAACTGATATGTCCTCTAACATATATTTTTGTAAACTTTGATATGCTAAGTAAATAATAGAAGTAGTTTAGACTTATAAGCCTAGATATTAACATTTAAATTTTATTTAGGAATATTAACATAACTTTTTTTTTAAATGCACATAAAATCAACATTTAAAAAATACTGTTGCTTTTAGTTTGTTCGGTTTTTAAACTTATTTCCAAATCTTTTAGTTTTCCTGCACGGCTGTCGGTTAATAGACTGAACTATTGTTGAACACGTTCTTTTTTGTTTACAAAATGGGGAAGAAGTCAAAAGTAGGAAAGGCAAGAAAAGATAAGTTTTACCATCTCGCCAAAGAAACAGGTAAACATGAATAATTAGTCTATTTGGAATATATGCGTTAATTTATGCCATAGAATAATCACCCGTTTCATAATTTTACCTTTACAAAAAGTTAATCAGTCAGGACCTCACTGAGAACTGAGGTAGTCACTCAAGAGTCAGTGATACTGTGTGAAAAAGTGTGTGACTGACTCAGTTAGGTAGGACACTTCTAGTACCTAGTAATTAATAGTAGTATAGACAGTGCTTCTCACAGAGTCACGAATGAGTCAGTCTCAGACTACATTCACCACACAGACTCAGACCAGGAGCTGGTAAAGTCACTTAGACTTAGTAGCCTTAGTTAGTAAGTTGGTCATTTGAGTGGGGGGGTGGGGGATTAACAGTTGGGCTGCAACTTTTTTTAATAGAAGGGGGCACCACTATCTCTATCTATGACTATGCCACTATATTAGTCAATTATTATTGTAATGTATAACACTAACACTGTTATCAGTGATCAGCACTATCTCTAATCTCTATCTATGACTATTTTATAACAGAATTAATGATGGAATTTACTTAGAAATTAAAAGCTAACTACATTATATGTAGTTATGGAGAAAAAAATTCTTAATAAATACATATAACTTTCTGAAAATAATTAATCGAACAACTAACTCTTTTTTTATTCACATAGGTTACAGGTCCAGGGCAGCTTTTAAGCTCATACAACTAAATAGAAAATATGAGTTTCTGCAACGTTCAAATATCATTATTGACTTGTGTGCAGCACCAGGTGGATGGCTTCAAGTTGCTTCAGAAAATGCCCCTATGTCAAATATTATAATTGGTAAGATTGTGGATTTTCATTCACTGTTTATAAAACTGTGAATGGCTTTTTTCCTTTTATTAAATTTAAGTTAGTTAAAATGTGTTTCAAACAAATTGTATTCTGATCTATATATAAAGCTATATCTTTTTCTCCCACTATTATTATGTTTTAGTATTTAAAAATATATTGCATTGCTGCTGTTACTCCAATAAGTGAAATTTAAAATAAATAATTCATTCTTAGTCAAACTTGAACTAAAATAACCAATGCTAGATCTTGCAAAATCTCTTAGCCTTATCTCTCTCATATCTCTTTTAATTAAAAATTTATTTTTCTCAACATAAAAACCTATGGCATTTAAAATTATTGTCTTATCATAATTTGTTAAATAATTTCTTTTTTTTAAAATCAGGTGTTGATTTAGTTTCCATACCTCCAATTAAAAATGTGAAGACTTTTCAAGAAGACATAACAACAGAAAAATGTAGACAGGTATTGGTATTAAGTTTAACTTACATTTAATTTAAAAAGACTTGCTTGTGCTAATTAAAGTTGATTTATTTATTTTATCAATAATGCATGAAAAAGCAGTTTCTATATTAAAAATGGTGTGCCTAAATATTGGTTACTTTTGTTAAGCATCAGATCCTCCAGATCTTCCATTTATCTGGGCTTAACTTAAAGTTAAAGGGAGATACATTTGGTCTTTTGATCTCAAGAGCTCTTTGAATTATGAAGCATTAGCTCTTCCTTTAAGAAATAATTCCAGAAATTGACTTGAAATAATTAAAGAATGTCAAAGCATTTGGTTTGGCCAAACATTGCCTAATGAACACCTTAAATTAAAAAATGGTATAAATTTAAATGTATGTTAACAGTTACTGAGAAAAGAATTAAAGACGGCTAAAGCAGACTGTGTGCTTAATGATGGAGCTCCTAATTTGGGTACAAACTGGGTTCACGATGCATTTCAGCAAGGTAATTTTCTTTTCACATATCAAAAAAAATTTTTTACCTAAATAATTGTTTTCATTTTCTGTAACTTGAAAATTGGCATTCTTCCTCTAGTAATGTCAACTCAACTACTGCAGTATTGTTATAGAGCTAAATGAATTCACTACATAATAGAAGAATCCAATGCTTCATTTCTTAGCTAAAACCTATCAATATAAGTAAATAATTATGTGTCCAATTATATTATCCAATTTAAATATATTACTAGGTTCAACATCAATCGCATACAGCATTTAATTTATAACTTGTTGCTGTTTTGAATTATCCCTGTAATTCAAATATTTCGCAAATATCTGGGTCAACTGTAATGCTGAAACTATATTTTATTTCAGCTGAGTTAACACTTCATGCTATGAGGCTAGCAACAGAGTTTCTGCGTAAAGGTGGATGGTTTGTGACTAAGCTGTTTCGCTCTAAAGACTATGATGCTATCATGTGGGTCTTCCAGCAATTGTTCAAACAGGTGCATGCCACTAAACCACAAGCCTCAAGAAATGAATCTGCTGAGATTTTTATTGTTTGCCAAGGTTATGTTGCACCAGATAAAATTGATCCAAAATTTCTTGACCCAAAATATGTTTTTCAAGATGTTGACCAAACTCCTCGTCCAAGTATTGACCTTATTCATCCAGAGAAAAAACGAAGGTTGGTTGCAGCTATCTTGTAATGCGATAAATAATTTAATTAGCAGACTGGGATAAGTCTATACAGATTTACCATTGGATTTCTTTGTATGCTGTAACAAGATTTTTTTTCTTCTTTTGATAGACAGAGAGAAGGTTACCCAGAAGGAGATTATACATTGTTCCATTCTCTGCCAGTTACTGAGTTCTTTGCCAGTGATGAATTTATGGATTTATTGGCGCAATCATCAGAGGTAAGAATTTAACACCACTTAAAGAACCGTTTAAGTTGATAGTTAATAACAATTAAAAGTTGCTGTGCGTTTGGATTTATTTTTGTAAAGAAAAAATATAAATATTTTGTTTTATGAAATTAGATCCAGGATTTATGTTTAGTCTTTTCTGAAAATTAATGACATTATTGTTTTATCTCTTGATTTGTTGTTCCTTCTTCTATATCTTAAGGGTCCACGATCAATATATTGATAATTCTGGCTCCTATGTACTTATATTTCTGTGCCTGGTATTAAGAGGATATTTCACTAGTTGCAAGGGCTACTCAGCGAGGTTATCAGGAACTGGGAGTTGAAAGGCCTGAGACAGTAGATGCAAATGTGTCAAGTGTTTTCGCCTCAACTGTTCCCTTTGGAAGCTTGTTCCCTGATTGTCTTTGGCAGAAATGAGCAGTTCCAGTACCATGTTCTTGCTGGAATGAGCCGTGTTCCTGTAGCGATTCAGGACAAATCGTGCTGCCCGTCGATGGACCACCTCCATGCTCCATGGGTGAATGGGTCCCAGACTGAAGATGCATCGATTCTAAAAGGGGCCGGACAAAGGCTTTATAGGCTTTTTCTTTCACTCACTCTGAAGTTGCCAATCTTTAGATTTTGCCTTAAGAACCATAGGGATTTGTTTGCCTGGTTGAACACATTTTTAATATGCTTTTCCCACCGGACCTCTCTTTGAAAGTGACACTGAGGTACATTATGGAGGAAACTGGCTCCTCAAGCATATGGCTATGCAGTTTGTAAGGGTGATGTAGAGGGGTACTACTTATGGGGACTGACAGTTTCTGGCACTTGGCAGGATGAAATTCCATGTCCCAGCTCATCTCCCACTCAGTTAACCATTGGTTATCCTGTTGTAGCTGGTCCTGGTCAGAATTGTTGGCGATCGTCCAATACACCGCCATGTGATCTGCGAACAATCTTGCTGGGGATGTCAGTTTCTCGGGTCGGGCCTTGATATATGCTAGGAACAAACAGGGGCATAGCAACACCGAAAAATAAAATAAAGGAATCAGTCAATGCACATTATGAACAATCCTCTTTGATTTTAAATTACTACCAAGTTATTGTATAAATGATAAAACAGACATATTCACTGTAAATTTATACAACGTATTTTTTATTTAACACTTTCAATGCAATTTTATTTGTTTCCTTAGATTGCACTAGACTCGGATGAAATAAAGAACCATCCACTCACAACGCCTGAAATTAAAGAATGTTTAAAAGATATTAAAGTCTTAGGGAAGAAAGATATAAAGTAAGTAGTGATAAAAAAATACAATATTTATTTGTTGTTTTTTTTTCAGCGCAGTAGTGAAAAATTTAATTTGCTTGTTTCTCTCATGGCAAATTGGACTGTGTTTAATTCCAGATAATCTTAGGAAAATGTTAAGAAATTTTTTGTTAATGTCATCCTTGTTTTTTGTTAAGACTTTTAAAATGTTCATATTTAAAGGAAAACATCCATATGCTTTGTTGTTTTTCTTTCAGATCAATATTTTTGTGGAGAAAAAGATTGTTAAAGGAATTTGAAAAGAATAAAAAGCTTGCAGATAAGATGTAAGTTTTTATTTAAATGCACTTCTACCCTCCTCCAAATGTTATATTGTTGTATAAATTCACAACTTCATAGGAAATATACATTATTTTTAAATGTGGTGATAAATATTAATAAATTTAATTTTTAAGCAAAGAGGGGAACCTTAATGAAGAAGAAACCAAAGAAAAGGAACCATTGGAAGAAAATGAGAATGAACAAGATGAAGCTGAGATGGAAGAACTGGAAAATCTTCTAGAACAGAAAAATATTGAAGAGCTTGCAACCATGAAAAAGTATGTCATCATTTCTCCTCGTAATGCCACATTGTATATCTATCTTCAGACAGGTTTTTTCTAAATCTCTTTGACTTTTGAGAACTAAATTTGTAATCTTTTTTAAAAATTTAATTTACTGTACTTAAGTCCTTGTTGTGTCTTCAGTTGTCTTTATGATATAGAGTATGGTTATATATAAACATACAAGAGTGCAGCACAAAAATATTTCTTTAATGCAATATTATGATCAAAACTTTCAATTGAAAAATGTGTCATTCAAAACGTCACAATTGAAAGTGTCATTCAAAACATGGCACAATTGAAAGTGTCATTCAAAACATGGCACAATTGAAAGTGTGTCATTTAAAATATGTCAAAATTGAAAGTGTGTCATTCAAGACATATCACAGTTGACACATGTTTCATTCAAAGCATGTCACGATTGAAAGTGTGGAACTCTTCTTAAGGAAGAGAATAATGAATCCTTGTTATTGATATTATTTTTTCCTTTGATGTCATCAGAGCTAAGAAAAAGGTGCGTAAGTTGCAAATGAAGCATAAGTTGAGAATAGACATGAAGATGACCATCCCAGGAGACCAGCCTGTCATACAAGATGATATCAACATTTTTGACATAACCAAAATAAGGAACAGAATGGTGAGTGTTGTATGATGTTACTTGAGAGCCAAAAAATTATTTATTTTCATATGAGAATATGAATTGGTGGTTGCTCTAATTCAGATGTACAAATACTGGATCAACACAATTTATTCAAAAGTAGACCATAACTAGGTCCAGTAATGTATCCATGAATAATGCACAATTTGACTTGACTGTTCATTTCTGTAGTTATGAAATCACATCCGTCTATGCTAGCCAAAACAAGCTATTCCCATTATAATGTTTGAGAATATTTGTCTAGTGGTTCTCAGCGATGTGTGCATAGTTTCTCTATGTACAACAATAGCATGAACCACTCTGCAAGTCTGTAATCTTAATATTGTTTAGAATGTCAGGAAGTATTGGAAGTATTAATTAGTGATAGAATTAGTTGGTTGGTGATGTTGGATTTGATGCAAACTTTTTGAGACAAATATGCAACTAAAAAAAAAGATGATTCTTTTATAAGTTTTTTTTTGTTGGTTTTATGTTGGTACATATTTGCAAAATATTTAAAGATTTAACGTTACCTTTAATTACTTTTTTACTTATATATTCATGTGTTAACGGTATGTTTGGAAGACTGGTAAATTATAAGTAACTCTACTTTCTAAATTAGGAGCTATAATTCATATATTTCCTCCTCACAACTTTGTTTTCTGCCATTGCATTTTATGTACTGTCACTTGAATCTGTTTCAGCAACTGTCAGAGGTAGAGAAGGGAGATCTCTCATACTTGGATAAAGATGATATATTTGAAGATTCTGATGATGAGGCTAAAAATAAGCCAAAGGGGAAGCTGTACTTTGATAAAGACGACAAGAAGTATCCCGGGATAGAGGGGGGTGAGAGTGAGGAGGAAATCGAAGAGATGGAGGAAGAACCCCTTTTTGATGGAAATGAGTAAGTTTTTTTTTTTAATTTACAACCCTTGAATGTAGTTTTTATAATGTTTTATGAATTTGAAATGTTTTATTACAGCTCCTTTTTGCAGATGTAAAATTGAAGAATAATTTTTTTGAGATGGAAGGTATTCAAAGAAGAGATTTGAGTGTCAGAATTTCTTGTTTATATGTTGTTGTTTTTTGTGGTGTCCAACCTAATTTTTAGTTGTATTTTATTAAATGGTACATACAGCTTATGATTTTTCTCCTTCAATTATTTCTGCTAAATAGCAATGCACTATTTGGGTACCGGTAATTAATTATTTTTTATGACCTGCACTTTGTTTTTCTAGGAGTGAAGAGGATGAAGATGAAAACAGTGAAGAAGAGGAAAGCAAAGAAAATAACAATCCTCTAATCATTGACATGGGACAGACCAAGAAGTTAAAACAAGACAATCAGAGAGCATGGTTTAAAAAGGTAAACAAAAAATTTAAGAAAAGTACATTGTAATGTTAAAAGTTTAAATAATTCTTCACTTCTATTAACTAATAAAAGTGAAAATGGAAAGCAGAAAGAAGAAAAAGCTCAACATTACTAAAAATTTAAAAAAAGCTCAACATTACTAAAAATTATTTCAGGAATCATTTGCTGGACTTGACAATGATGTTGATGAAGATTTAGAACTTGACCAACTCATAACTCCAGCGGAAGGCAAAAAAATTAATGCAAGCAAAAAGTCTCCTAAAAATGAATCCTTAATTAAGACTTTAGAGGAGGATGATTTTGACCCAGATATTGAAAATGGAGAAAGTGATAGTGAGGACAATAGTGGAAGTGATTATGAATTCACTGACATGCTTTATACAAGTAAAAAGAAGAAGAAACAAGCGGCTATAGCAAAGACAAGGCCAACTACAATAGATGGTATAGAGGTTGTACCAGTTGCAGAAACAGACAGCAGTTTACAGCTTGATGCCGAAGGTTTAGCCATTGGAACTGCCATGATACAGTCAAGAAAAAGAAAGAGAGAGATTGTCGATTCTGCTTATCACAGGTTTGATTTTTTTTTCCTTTACGTAAATGAATGTGTCAACATTTCAAGGTTAATCCCCAAGAGTTTTCAGGGTCTGTCACAATCACTTCACTTAGTTACGCCATATGTTATTTTTCACTTATATTTAGGGATCATCCATTTATTGTGGATTCTAGGGATGGTGGGTTGAGGAGAATTAAAAATCTTATTGAATATTTTAAACTAAGAGTTATTGACCTCTAGATCTACTTTGAAATGAAAGGAGAAGTAAGAAAGTTGGTCTTTCAAACAACAAAAAGAAAACTTTCCAATAACTTAAAATATTTTCTTCTTAGAAAGATCATTCCGAGTTAAATTTTTACCAGACGTTGTTTATTTTTTTGTGTGCTAAAAATCCTTAATGGACTCTTGGAGGAGGATATCCTAAACCGAAATGAACAGGGTAGAAAAGCAGGGTGGCTTGCATACATATTGTATTGATGGCTTTTTAATTTTGACCTTAATTATACTATTCCACTAAAAGGATGACTTTGACACTCTTGAAGACTTGTTAGTTGTAAGGTCTTCTATCTAGTTATTACAGGCTGTTGGAATATTTATTTAATGTTCCATCTGTTAAACTTAGAAGAAAATCTATTATCTTTTTTATTTAATTATTGACCCACAAATTTAGCCAAAAATTGATAGAAAGGAATGTTGTTTACTTTCTGTCTACATTAAATGTGACTTTATCACCACTATTTTTTCACTAGGTACATGTTTGATGATTCTGACCTGCCTGATTGGTTTGTAATAGATGAGAGGAAGCATCTAAAGAGACAACGGCCAGTGTCGAAGGTAAAACTTCACAGAAGCATAGATTCGGTTTTCAAAATTGTAGTCTCACTCAACTCACTGGATACACTTTTTAAAACTCATTACCCATTCCCAATCATGCAGAACTGGATGCTTGTGTTTGGTTACATTAAATCTTGGGTGACCAAACTGGCAAGCACGGGCCGGATAATCATTCTGTACAATACTTGCATGCCAGAACGAAAGCTGGGGGGGGGGGGGGGGGGGAAAAAAAACTAAGTTTAGTCTTCCATGTTAATCATGAGTTAGTGGCGTGCAATGCAAAAAAACAAAGACAACCAACATATTTATTTACTAAAAAAGTTATCAAAGAAGGCGAAGTTAGTAAAAAGATAGTTACATCAGACCTAGTGCGCTCATGTTATTATTATAATCTCAGCAAAAAAGGTTAGTGAGATTTGTGAAAGTGACTTTTGGCTTTCACTGTATCACCAATGTTTGGTTTGGAATTGCTGCATCCAGTCAAAATAATTGTTTTTGATTGTTCATCAATCCCTCTCGTTCGATGTGTTGACTTCGGATAATTTATTTTTGAAAATGTTTGCTCATAGTATAAATTGTTCCATGCATGCTGCAAACATGCCAGAAAGTCAAAATTGGCACCACAAATAAACACGAGAAGTTGTGAGAGATCATTAGATTCATCCAGTGCCAGAGAATACAGCATCAAGTTCCTAGCTTTCTCAATTATCTGTAGCACTATGTTCTCTCCAAATTCTTCTGTTCTCCGCACAACTGAACTTGCCAAAAGGCTGATAGCTCCAACCGCGGCGACTATGATTTCTAAAGTTTCCATATGTTTCCAACACTCCTCTTTTTTTTCACCCATTTACTACGGTACCCAGTTTGTGGTAGTTATCAGACTATAATGTATTAGTGGGAATATGCTTAATGAAAATTGATTATTTTTTATAATATTTTTTAAAACAAAATTTTCCTAAAATCACATTATGTAACTTGGTAGGTTTTTTAAATGATGTCATCATTTTTCAATTAAAAATTCTTATTTAAATACATCTTGTTTTATGCTGATCTGAGTTCAAGTTTGAACTATGTTAAATTTCACCAGTAACTTTTTTTTCACCATTGATAGACTGTACGTCGATTCAATATAACTTAATATCAAAAGCAAATACATGTCTGCAAAACAAAGTGACCACAGAATGTATTTTAAACGTCGGTCATCTACTTTTAGTAGTTAACTTTTTGGTGAAAGCTTAATTCAATCTCACTAGGCACTAGATGCGAGTAGTTATTGTATTCATTTTACATACTGTATGTTTATTTACTATTATTAAGATACCATATTGTATAATTTTAAGATGATATTGTACGATTTAAGAAATTCGAGGGTAAACAAGTCTGTAATAAATATGAAAATCTAGTTGCTATTGCTATAACTTAAAATTGAAAATGGTAAATCAAGGCGCATAGCAGCCAGGAGGTCTATGCACGTGTGAAGATCTCCTAGTATTCTAAACATAATATTGAAATTTAAATTGTATCACAACGTCTCGTGTTCCATACGTTTTATCGAGCAAATACCGTCGGCGGGCAGGATAAACTAGCCTCGCGGGTCGGATCCAGGTGACCCCTGGATTAAATATTTGTTCATATTCTCATTTCATGCTTAACATGTTTAAACATAAAGAGTAACTAACAGTATAATTACCTTTTTTTTTAAAACTCACACACACACCCCAATTCTATTATTATTATAATATAAATGAATATAATTTTTTGGATAACTCATTTCAAATTTTGATTTCTCTATAAAATTGTTTTCAGGAAGAAGTTGAGGAATACAAGTTGAAAATGAAAGCCATAGATGCTCAGCCAATCAAAAAAGTAGCTGAGGCAAAGGCTAGGAAAAAAAGAAAGGTACTGGACACTGCTCTGTTTAGATAACGTTTTACTGAACTCATTGTTTATTGTAATTTTTTTTACTCAAATCATAAGGAAAATGTCAGAAATATTAAGTTTTGAGCTGGGAATTCATATATTTAGAAGTTAGCTGTTACTGATACACAAAGAGAGCATGCATTGATAATTCTGAATTGTGTCCCTTCCTTGCAAAAAAAATTGTTGCAGATTTTCTGTTTTAATGTAAATGATCTGCTGAACTAACATAATATTTTAATTTTTAAATAACCATCATCTTTGGATTATTATACTTTTAAGTAGCAGATTAGTGGAGATTAAAGAAATAGCCTTATAACAGAATTATTTGAAATAAGTTCTCAAAATATTATTTGAACTGCTCATTGCTCTTAAATGTTTAGGTTATATTTTAGAATTAGAATGATAACCACCTTTTATCAAGTGGTTTTTGTATAATTTTATTAGATGCTTAAGCGTCAAGAAAAGGCAAGAAAGAAAGCTAACTCTGTTACTGACAATATTGACACATCCGAAAAAGAGAAATGGCAGCAAATTAAACAGTAAGTAAAGATGGATTCTTTACAGTTCAATTGTCTTTTCTTTTTTTTTTGTGGAGCAATATAGTGAACTGGTCATCTGACTTGAACATTGAAAATTTTGGATTTTGTCATTATAGTTTCTTAGGGTTACGTTGCATTGGTTACAAATGTGCCCATTATTTAGGCAAATTTTAATATAAACCTCCATTCAGTCTTCAACTTTATTGTAATTACTTTTCTATTAATTTCTATTCAAATTGTGCTGAAGTAACCTCAGAGGGGCATCTGGTTTTATTGCTATAGTCATTTTGATGCATGTCCTATGGTGCAAATTTGCTTGCTTCTCCTGTGATTTTAATGGAATATGACCATTATTTACCTCTATAATCCTGAAAAGTTTAGAGTTGATTTCGGAGCCTGAGATAACCTAAACCATATGTGGCAGAAAAAGTCATTGGCTCCTCCATTTGAGTCATTTAAAATCCCTACAATGTGTTGTGCCTATCTGTCTAGTAACCAACTTCTCTCTGTGATCAGTTCTCTATGTTTTCTTACATGTGATCTCGCTTGAAAGCCATTCCCTTTCCTGCCTTATCTTTAAATTCCCATCAAATCTCTTTCTTTTTCCCAGCTCTTTGATTCTATCTTTGCTATTGTTGATTTTTCCCAATTACGTTTTTGCTTTCTACAAATTTTGTTACCGGTAGTCATCCTTTTTGTTTCATTATACAATAGTCACAGAAAAAACACAACTTCTGACCTCTATAATTAAGGCTAACGTGTAGTAATACATAAAAAAAATTTTTTTAAATTTCATAGTTGAAATCAAAGTTGGAAATGTTTTGGTTGTCTTCATAATTCCTATTGTAAAGAGATTTCTGTTTTTTTTTAATTTCATACCGGTAGTTGAAATCAATGTTGGAAGTGTTTTGGTTGTCTTCATCATTCCTACTGACACTATTGTAAAGAGATTTCTGTTGTTGTTTTTTTTTTAAATATTATTGTCATGGTTAATGCTACTATATCAAAATTCTTATTTGAAATTTGAAGCAATCTTTGCTCACTGTGTTTTTTGGTGAGTGGTGAAAAAAATTAAGAGCTCTACACATCTGAATGCATTATGTATGATCTAATAATACCAAAGCTATCTGGCAAATAAGGAATGTAATTCAGGCAGTGACAGATGCTACTAAATTTGTATAATGAAAAACTGTATTACTTGTTTACTCTTTGTATTATTATTTAAGATAGAATTTAGGTTATACAGTAATTGACAATGTAAAATATGTTATGTGGTAGCTAATTTGTCATGTTATTTTTCAGGATCTACAAAAAAGCTGGCCTTCTTAAAAAAGCCAAGCCCAGTGTCACATATGTAGTTGCCAAGAAAGGTGCTGGCAAAAAAGTTAGACGGCCAGCAGGAGTTAAAGGAATTTTTAAAGTTGTTGATGGGCGAATGAAAAAGGATTTGAAAGGAAAACAAAGATCGGAAGCTAAAGGAAAAGGCAAAAAGGGTCACAAAGGTGGAAAAAGAGGAGGAAGGGTTCGAAAGTAATAATAAAAATTGTAAGAGTAATAAATAGTGATTTTGGTATTCATTTTTTTGTGAGCATTGTTTTGTAACTTTACAGGCTATAGCCTACTTATTCTTTTCATCTATATGCAGACCTATGAGCAATGTCCAATCTTTAAGTACTTAAAACTTGAATTTTATGCATTCCAACCCATGGCACTGAAGTATCATTGATTATCTTTTTAAAAAAAAAATTGAGGTACATTTTCATGTAGTTGGTAAACAGTAAATAATCTTTCAGTATAGAAAGTATAGAAAATAGAATGTAAGACTGGTACCACACTAGTACTCAATAAGCTGAATAAGGTAGCTATTCTTTCTTGGGGAAAAGGGAAACCGCAAGTTCATAAAATTTTTATTAAAAAGCTCCACCACTAAATTTGAAAGACAAGACTACACCCAATTTATTCATTAAAAATAGTTGTCTGCAAAAACAGCTGTAAAGTGTCCAAGTTAGAATCAACTAGGTGTAGTGTAATTTATCGTAACTGGAACCTTAATAATTTAAAACTGATGCGGTATATGATTATTTTGGACTTGTTATCCTGTAATGTAAATTGTAGAATAATCATGTCTTTTATTACTACCACAGTTTTTATTAATTATAGGCTGCGACTATTCGTACCCGGGTACCAGAATTGAGAGGTTGGGATTTAAAAAAATATTTAAAATATTATTGTTGGGTTTGTAAGACAAAATGAGGTATCAAATGAAAGATGATTGAATGGACTATACTATATGTTTCTAAACTTACTTCTTCAGTTTATCTAAAATAAACTACCACAAATGACATCCAAATCCAAGTAACTTGAGTCTAATGGTACCCAGGTGCGAATGGCGGCACTGCGTGTCTGGGTCAATTTTTACTCAGTGCCATTTGGATGTCATTTGTGGTAGTTTATTTTGGTTAAACTGAAGAATTAAGTTTACAAACATATAGTCCATTCAATTAACTTTCATTTAGTACCTCATTTTGTCTTAAAAACCCAACAATAAAATTTTAAATAGTTTTTTAATCCCAACCTCTCACTTCTGGTACACTGGTACGAATAGCCACTTCGTTAATTATATTGAAATACCAGTCAGTATAAGGTTCGAATATGGTAAATTATTTAAATCAATAAGGTATTAAAAATCAGATTGCCCCAGATCACTTTGGCATGATCTTATTTCATTCAGCCATCCATAGAATCATGAGCTGAGTAAGACTGGCTGTTTACAGACCTGTTTACCCTCAAACTCTTAAAATCGTACAATATCATCACAAAATCGTTCCATAACCTTATATTTAGAGTAAAAAATAAGCATACAGTATATATTTTTACACCTGAAAATCTTACATTTACATTGTACGCCAAAATCGTAAGAGTAAACAGGTCTAGTTTCCCCATTCCCAGTCTTAAGTTTGATGAACCAGTGGCAAAGTTTCCAATTTCAACAGGAACTGTTGCAAGTCATATGTAACCTGATCAGCCAGTTTGATAGGTAATACCGGTAATGATAATAATTGCTAGCATTTACTAGTACCGGTACTAATTACTAGTGATAGTTGTATAGCACTATTTTTTTTTAAAGCACATATTTATATTTGACAAATGGCATCAAATGGGCTGAAAAGTATGACACTAATGTACTACCAGTAATGGTACATTTTCATTCACATAAAATGTCACATAACTTGGACTAAGCAACTGAAGTTTACCTGAACCTGGGGTAGGATCCTCCATTTCTTCAATTTCAATACCGTACAAATGGAACGCTTTCAACATTTCAATATTTCATGGTTGCCGGTATTAGTATTAATTACCGGGTATCTTGCATTTGCATAGCCAAAAATGTTTGTTAAGTGTTTTTTTTCTTTTTGTGGTCTTTTCTTGATAATATAGGTTTACTTGTCAAGTGTCTGACTAAAATTTTTCCACTACCATTACTACCGGTACCGGTACATAGCATTGACTTCCCAGTCCCTTCTAAAACGTGGAATATTTTTATGATTGAGATAACGCAGTGCTTTTTTGAAGGTGGTTTTCATTTTTAAAAAAAAAAGACTGAAACAAGGAAATGGTAGTGATTGGTAGGGGTCACTTTTTTTAGTTTCTTGAATCATGTTGTCTGGACTGGCAATGTAAGGATCGCTGACAGTCAGACAGTGACAGGTGTCGGTCTGTGGACCATACTTTGGGAAACACTAACTTTACTAAGCCACAGAACCCACATGGAGACTCACACTAACATATTTTTTATATATTATTGAGAAGCGGTCACAAGAGTAATTTGGTGATGTTTATATTTATATTCATGTGTCCTTAGGCCTCATTATTGATTTACTTGAGCGTTTATCTTGAAGTTAAAAGCTAACTTAACCCTGTGAGTACGGTACTACTTGTACGTTACCTTTTTGTATGTACCGATACTGGTTACGGTATTACACTTAAAGTACCGTAAATTCCATTTTGATCTCTAGCTAATGGAACACTTTTTTTTTTAATAACCGGACACCAAGTATCAAGATTTTTAGGCCTTTTGTCTTTTAAAAGTTTATTTCCCATGGATATCTTTTATAACCAGTACCGGTATACAGCAGGGTAAAAGGAGTAATTTGCTTACTTACTTAAGGATATTGAAAAATAACAGTTTAAAACGGGTATGTACTGGATTAGTTCACATTTTGTATCAATGTCAACCTACCACGGTGTTTCTATTTCTATGGTACCACAGGAAACCATTCTATCATAATATAAATTACCATAAAGAGATTTGAATTTAATTTAAGGAAACCCCCAGATATGTATTTGAACAGTGAGATCTTAATTCTTGGTAAGACTAGAACACTGGTAGACATCTTCCATAAAGTAAAATAAACTGAAACATTCTTTACTTTAAAATGATTTGTGAAATGATCATTTTGATTTTGATGGCAATTAAAGTATTGTACTTGTACCCAAGAGTTGTCTTCATCCCAAGAATCGGAGCCATTATATTTAAATTTAGCAGGTACCTGGTAGTTGACAATTTAATTATCCATGTAGACCAATTAACTGCCCTTATGTTTATGAATAAAATGCGGTCACAAATTAATTAATTTTAATGTTACTATTACTAGTTAGTAGTTACATTCAGGTTAAACACATTTACTTGCAGACTTGCAGTTTTCAGCCTTCTTGAATAGTCCAAAATTAAGATTAGATATACTGTTTCTGTAATGTGTGTGGACCTGTACGGTACATCAGATTCCATTTATCTAAATGTAAATACATTAATACACAAAAGCTCGACGCATAAGGAGTTTGCACTTGAATATAGATTTAATTGAAGATTAAAAAGCATGACAATTGGTGTATTTTGTTACAGTCTCCTAAAGCAAATGATCTCTAGTTTACTAAACAAGAGTACTGACAATGGCTACATCTTAAAAAAATTGTGATCACAACACTTAGAGACAAGCCAAGTGCCACTTTCAGTACCATATTTAAATGTTCTGCCTCTTTTTTTTTTTTTTTTTATTAAATTATTTATCCTTGCTTTTCCATGATTTAATTTTTAAATTTTTCTTTTTATTTGGAAAATGGCAACATTATGCTAATGAGATGAACACTATCAGAATTTAAAATTTGGATGACATGTTGAATGACTCTTTACACACAAAGGCAAGTATGTTCAAGTTTAGAAATAAAAATCACAGCAGATTGTTTTAACAATAGTTCAATACACTTTTGAAAGGATGCTTGGAACCGTATACAAGTGCAAACTGTTTTAGTGGTGTAATCACTAGAAGCCAAAATTGAAAAAAAAATCATTTCCTGATTTAAAAAATGTTGAAACTATATAAAGTCAATATAAATTAAGATTAATGTATTTACCTTAGTACACATTTCAAATGAAACTTAAATATATAAATGTGAGAAGATAAAAGTAACATTGATAGAACACCTATATTTAGTAGTATTGGTAAATCCTGCAATGCTTTGGCTGGTTGGTGAGGAAAGTAATTGATGTGAAAGACACTAATTGGTCCTCTGTACGTTGCTGTTTCCCTTGACCAAACTATGAAGTTGGACTTGAAAAAGCAATTCTGCTCAAAGGAATTTGTCTTTCTCCAGCACATCTAGTTATAAAACTAACATACTAAGCATTGATGATCAAATTAGTGGGAACCTAAATGATTAATTATAAAACGTACGCAAACAATAACAACAATTAAGGATTAACCCTCCTTGCTCTCGGAAGTTGTTTAAAGAATGATTTTGTGACCATGGAAATTTCTAAAATATTTTATAATTTCTTTTATAACCCCCAATAACCAAAGACTTCTATTTTAACAAATGCACACGAAAACATTACGAAGCACAAACATCAATAGACCAAGGAGGGATAATAATCTTCAATATTTTTTTTTTATAAAAATGATCAGTAATACAATTCAGTTCACTACACAAATTAGGCAATAGTACTTGTCACTGGCAATGGATACAAAACGAAGAGCTCGATGTCCTCTCATGATAACCATAAGCTTGTGGTTAAGATGACGAACTTGTTCTAATGGTGTTTGACACCACAAACTTTACATTTTTACAACTATTTATACAACAGACAAAATAATGAAACCCATGCACAAAATCATTCACATCCAGAAAGGGAGAGGGAAATCCAAAGAGACAATGAACAGAGGCATACATGAGAAACCAAGATAGGGAAAATGTGTACATGCATCATTGCCCATGAACATGAAATTCGATGAATATCTGAAAATGGAGATGGAATTGACAATATATAGATAAACTAAAGGAAGCTTGCACATTTTTTTAAAAAAAGCAATTTTGTTTAATTTTGTAAAATTTAATTAGAAATAAAAAGTTATTCAAAAAGTTTTCAAACAGCCATCTCATTTTCGCCTAATTTATAATAAAAAAAAGTTCCAGCATATAAATATGAGGTACTATCCTCCCAAAGCCAATGACAAGATTTTCAAACAAAACACTACTGCCAAAAACTGTCACAGCATCAATCATGTATCCTCTTTCACCTAAGCTTCACTTTCCGGGAAGAAAAAAAAAAAAAGGACAGTTAGCTTGCTACGTCACAGAGAAATAACTTCCGAGGGAGCACGACCTTGAAGTCGTGAAAAATGTGGGCCAAAATCTTCACATAGTAGCAGTTTTGGTAAGATAATGACAAACAAATTTTATATGTTCAAATTTTTAGTACACTAAATCAACACAGCCTTAGGATGCATCCTCTCCTTCAATATCCTGGACTGCTTGCTCCTGTTGCTCACCTGCTGAAAAAGACAGACAAATCAATCTTCTGCATTATGTTTTAAAACTTATAAAAATTAAAATGTTATTTGAAAAAAAAAAAGGTTGAAAAAAAACCCACACACCTTTTGATGGTGTCAGAAACTTAAAAATTCACAAACGGTCAACGGTTTCATTATAAAAATTCAATACAGCAAACAGAATATCATTTAAATAGAAAAACAATAACTAAGTCAGACAACCAAAATGCTCTAACCTTCATTTTCTCCTTGCATGTCTGATGTCCAGAGTGTGAGGTTGTCACGAAGCAACTGCATTATCAATGTTGAATCCTTGTAACTCTCTTCACTTAATGTGTCAAGCTCAGCTATAGCATCATCAAATGCTGCTTTGGCCAATCGACACGCACGGTCAGGGGAATTCAAGATCTCATAGTAGAATACTGAGAAGTTGAGTGCCAAACCTAGACGAATCGGATGTGTTGGTGCCAACTCTGTCATTGAAATGTCGCTGGCAGCTTTATAGGCAACTAAACTGTTCTCAGCAGCTTCTTTTCTGTCATTGCCTGTAGCGAATTCAGCTAAGTACCGATGGTAATCGCCTTTCCTGAAAATGAATATCTCAGTGTGATATATAATGAAATGCTTATTTTAATTTTGGATAAACATGTCTCTCTACTGTCAATTAGCGCAAATTTGAGGGAATAAAATAGATACTGTTTAGCTGATGAGATAGCATGGATAAAAAGTATGTGAAATACTAACTATAAAAAAAGAATGCAGTATGACATTGTTAGCCACTTGAAACAATGAAATTCTATTTTTCAAATCTCTGCAGTGCATTCTTTTTTTAATGCTACCTCCTTCACACCCCAAAACTTAAAACAATTTTTGTCTTGACAAGCATGTACTTACATTTTATAATAAAAGACCTTTGATTCACCAGTGGCTGCATTTGGAATTAAATTGTTGTCAATAACGCCTAGAACATCATGGCAAATTGAGTTTAGTTCAGATTCAATCTGTTGAATATTAAAACATTGTCAACCACATAAGAATAAAACATTAAGCAAGAATCATCAAATGAAAGGATAAATCAAACAAGGTACGGGAAAGAAATGTAAGATATAGACGGAATGCTATTAGTAATTTTTAAGTTTTACACAAAAGGGACAGTGTCAATATTTAGTATATAAAAATAAAATTATTGGTTTAATTAACATATGGTACTTGATATCGTCCCCCTTAGAATAACAAGGTTCTATATGCCTATTTAATCCAATCAACTTAGAACCTTGTTATTCTAAGGGGACGATATCAGGAGACAGAAATTATTAATAAGGCTGAGCCAGGTCAGGGTATTATCAAAAGTAATAAATGCACATTTTTAAATATATATTTTTGTTTTATTAGTTCGGACTTGTGCCATGAATTGAACTTTCAGTACGTATGAATTATATTATTAATCAAAAGGTAAATATAAATGAATTTATCCAACATGATGACACAAGCTAGAATTACAGGGTCTTCTGCAAAAATTAGCATTTCTGAATGATACCTTGGATTTTTTTTTTTTTAATTTTTGAAAAGGCACTGGGCTCAGTCCAAATGAGAATGAATTATCGCAAAGAACTTTATTCACAAATTTGTATTTTGACAACTTGAAGTGAAGGGGAAAATGTGTATGAATTATATTATTAATCAAAAAGTAAATATAAATGAATTTATCCAACATGATTACACAAGTTAGAATTACAGGGTTTTCTGCAAAAATTAGCATTTCTGAATGATACCTTGGATTTTTTTTTTTTAATTTTTGAAAAGGCACTGGGCTCAGTCCAAATGAGAATGAATTATCGCAAAGAACTTTATTCACAAATTTGTATTGTGACAACTTGAAGTGAAGGGGAAAATGATAGATGCAATGATGACATAAAATTTAAATGAGAATATTAAAACTTACCTGTTTTCTATATTCTCTTGTGATTGTTTGTTTTTCCTCTGAGACCTTGCCTTCATCTTTTTGTTCTAAGCTGCTGACAATTCTCCAAGAAGCCCTTCTAGCACCAATAACATTTTTATAAGCAACTGACAATAAGTTACGCTCTTCAACAGTCAGCTCTGTATCTTGCTGGGCAACCTTTTTCATTGAGCTCACCATTTCTGAAAACACAAAGTAAATTACCTCACTTTAAAAAAAAAATTCAATATTCCTGAAATCAAATGAGACTACATAAATTCAATATATCCTTTAAACTTTAGCTGTACAGTAAAAACCTTATAATTGGCTTTAAGAATGTTATATATAAACAGATTCGATTACAAACAAATACAAATACAATGTAAAAATTTGCTAGGATGGGTAGTGAAATTTAGGGTGCTATGTGCAAATGATGTCTTAATCCAGGGGTGGCCAACATTTTGATCATCATTTAATATTTCATGGGTCACATAATATTAATATACCAATCGTGACCAAAGTTCAAGTTAATCTTGAACATATGACAATTATTAACTGCTGATTTTACAATAGTACAAATCAAAATACAGACACCTATTGAAATTTGAAATACTCCCATCAAATGATTACAGTCTGAGCTAATCTGCTATGAGACTACATATAAATAGTACCATGAATGCAAATATTACAAATATGACAATTTTAAAATTAATCAGCCAAAAAAAAATAAATACAAACAAACCCCCCCCCCCCCCCAGATTCCTGATAATTTACTGTGACTGATTAATACATTTTTCTTCAAAAAGAATCAGATCAGAATGGATGATCATTATTGCTCTGCCTGTATAAAAGGGAACTGTCAATCTCCATTTTATAAGCCTACAGTTATCTAAGTTTATTATTAGTATCAGATGAGAGGCACCTAAAAAGCATGAGTTTTGAGGGGAAAAGCAGAGGTCTTGGTGGGCACTCCCAGAAAAAGATAAATATAACATCACCGGACATATTTATAAAAGAATTGTTTGAGTGTTATGTTTTAGGACGTTTCACCCTTTTTGCATCGGGGAGAACAATATCATAGGTCCCAATATGATCTGACTAAAAAAAAAATTTAAGTTTCACAGAAAAAAATCAGAGCAAAGAACATAATTTGTCCTCCACAAACTGTATATTTTACAACAAATTTTGTATTATCAGATAATGACCTCTCCAACTATTGGTTTTAATCACCTGTTTCCTACAATCAAATTTAGAAATGGAAAGAAGGTGCCCTCAAAATATCTCAGATAAAGCTAGAATACAATAAGACATTCTGGCTTGTTATGCAACTAGAGATCCTGACTTATCATTGGTCTGTGTATTAAAAGTACATACCCCGCATGACAAATATATATTGGTTTCACACACTTAACACTGAAGGCCAGTCTGCATGTCTGTATATAAAATTGTCAAATATAGTGAGTACACTTCTCCTTAGCAGTACTCACTCCCAATGGCGCAGAGGCAGACCTGTTTACCCTTAAACTCTTAAAATCGTACAATATCATCACAAAATCGTTCAATACACTATCTTAATACTAAAAAAATAAACATGTATACACCTCAAAATCATACATAGTATGCCAAAATCATAAGAGTAAACAGGTCTGCATAGGTCATCCACAATACTTTTCCATCTGTCCCTGTCCTTGGCTATCTTTGCTAGTTCAGCCCAGCTTTTTCTTCATTCTCTTCACCCGTCTCCACTCCCATCTTCCATGTGGCTCTTGGTCTTCGTCTTTTGCTGGTACCTTGAAGATTCCAGTTCAGGGCCATTTTCAGCTCCATTTCCCCTTTAACACTTGATGTTCTCTCCCAAAGGACAGTGTTACAAATTTTGTCAAACCATATTTTCAGGATCCTTCAAAAGCCTCCGTTTATAATAACCAGCAGTTTTTTTAATTTAATGTTTGTTTTTTGTTATCTAAGTTTCAGTCTTGACATTTGAGTTGAATATTTTTAACTTTGTTTTTTGTCAGTATTTCACTTCAGATGTTTCGCAGGGCATTGAATGCTCCTCAGACTTTTTTGACCTTAGACTTAATTTCATCTTTCCGCACCATTTTTATTTATGATGCTTCCTATTATGTAAAGGTTTCAACTTCAAGAGAAGCTCCTCCCAAGTTAATCCTAATGACCCCATCATCCACTGCATTTATTCTTAAGGTCTTGGTTTTCCCCATATTTATGCTAAGCCCACTTGCTGCGATAAAGAGTCAAGTTTTGTTATTTTCTCCTGCATTGTTTGTGGATATGTGATAAAAGTGCAATGTCATCTGCAAAATCCAAATCCTCCATCTGAAAGGCGTCCACTGGATTCCATTTCTCCTATCCTGTTTCTCTCATGATCCAGTCAATGGATAACAGAAAGAGGAAAGGTGAGAGCAGGCATCCCTGTCGAACTCCAAATTTTATCATAAATGGGTTTGTGAGTTCACCTTGAGGTATAACCCTACAACTTATATCCTTGTATGTGTTCTTAATTTAGCTTTAGTAGTTTCCAGAGTGAATCTCTGTTTAAGCTTTCAAATGCTTTTTCGAAGTTGACAAAATTTAGGTACAAATGAAGCATTCCACTCCTAACACTGTTCCATGATTATGCGCAGGGTTGCAAATTGGTCAGTGCATGATCTGTTTTCTCTAAATCCTAACCTGTTCTCTTAGTTTGGAGTCTATTGCTTTTATCCGCAGAATAATTCTATCCAGTATTTTTTCTGGTACAGAAAGCAGTGCAGTTCCTCTATAGTTTCCACACTCTTGGAGATCTCCTTCTGGCTTTCCATTTTCAATAGTTTGATCCCATTTGTAATTTCTGTTCTGTTGGGCACATTGCAGTCAATGAGTAGATCTTCTGCAGGTAGAATTTTAGGTGGTTCTTGTGGGGCTGGCCTGCTCAGTAGTTATTTGAAATATTCTAGCCTTCTTTTCTCTTGTTCATCTTTGTTGGTTAGTTTGTTCGCCAATATGTCTTTGATTGGCCTGCTTTGCTGATGAAACTTTCCTGTAAGCCTCTTTTTAGCATTGTACAGGTCCCTAAGGTTACCTTTTGATGCAGCCTCTTCAGCCTCCTTAGCATGTCATCAATAAATCCTTTTATTTTTTCCTAATGTTTTTAACCTCTTTATTTGCATTTGCGTAGTTATCAAAAGCAGTCACTTTTGTTGCTCTTGTTCGGCTCTAAATAATTATCTTCTTTCTTTTCCTCTATTTAATTTTGTACATTGTTTCTTTTGGGAACCACTCCTAATGTTATGTTGATTTTCTTTCTTCCCTAAAACTGCTTCGCATGTGTTCAACCAAATCCCTCTAATTAGGGGTGTGCCGGATCCGTTTTTTCCAACCGGATCCGGATTTTCTTATGCGAAATCCGCCGGATCCGGATTCCGGTTTCTCCCGGATTCCGGATTTTGGTACTATTGGTAGATACTTCGGTAAGTCAAGGTGGACTACTACTTTTTGTGTATGGGAATTCGCAATCGGCGCCAAAAAATCCGAGTTTTTAATTTTCCGATGTGTGTGTCTATTTATTATTAAATTAGTACTTTCGATATATATTTGAGTTCCGTTCCATTTGGATAAGTGTCTTACGAGAGACGCCATGTTTCTACGCGTTCGCAGCAGGTTATGCAGCTCGCTCAACCTAATTTCGCCATGGGGTTGGCCACGCCCCCCTTTTTAATGGCGGAAGTTGACGATACTTAGGAAATATTAATTTATTATCACTATTTACATCAAAATAATTGATAACTTGTGTTTCAGAATGCATTTAAAGACATTTAAACTGGAATGTTTTAATTTGAGCTTTAACAACCCGGTAGAATCCATATTATAAATGATCAGAATTTACCGTGTGCAACACGTTGTCATTGGCAACCATTCACAGCCACTTGCATAACTGTATCGTAGTACTACCTCAGAGTTTCATTCATAAGAGTTTGCCGTGTGCAAAAACTATTAAACCATTGGTCAGGGAAAGCTTTAATTAATTATTCATGTGCCAAAGTTGAAAGTTTAAACTAAGTCTAAACAGTATTTTAGTGATAAGGCAGGGAATGCGTTGCCTTATATAAACTATATAGTCATTGCGCATGACGGGATTGGTGGAATGAGATCACAGAATGTGGAGATGCAGTCCATGTTAAAAAATGACAAACCAAGTCGTACTTTAAAAATTCATAACTTTAAAACTACAACAGCTAAAAATATGATTTTGGTGTTATAATTCTTTAAAAAATTACATCTTTTCAACTATGCCATTGGTTTATTTTTACAAAAAGTTTAAATTTTCTTATCAAAGTCCCTACACTATTGGCCACTATTAGCGGTGCTGACTCTAGCCTCTGGTATGTACGGAATATTAAACATTAAACAAGCTCAACGCTCGAAACAATCGATTAATGTATCGTGATCGTGTGAAATTCGGGAAAGAGAATTACTTTTATTTCAGATTATGATCCGGTGAGTCACAAAATCTGGCAAATTCCGAAATCCGGTATATTCCGGATTCCGGAATCCGGTTGTTCCGGATACATGTAAATCCGGCGGAACCGGATTTCACCGGATAGTGCAAAATCCGGCGGAACCGGATTCCGGACCGGGGTCCGGCACACCCCTACCTCTAATATGTTGCCATTGATCTTCTATGTCTTCAGTTATGTTCACTACTGAAAGGTTACTGTCAGAGCGGGCCCATGAATATATTTTAAAAGATGGTTTGAACTTTTTAAATTATATATTTAACAGATGTGACAACAATAGGTGTTCTGACTAACTAAATGATAATGTTAATGATTTAAAACAGAGTTGGCAAACTATGGGGTTATACATTTATAATTCTGTATTAACAGATCAACATATGTGAAAACTATTATGCCGTATTCTACCCAATAAAATTTTAGAAGATTCAGCTTGTCTTAAATTTAACATTTTTCCAATGGAAATTGTTTTCAGTTAAAATAAATAATAAAATTTGATTTTTTATCCAAATTAAATATAACATATAGGGATTATCAATTATAATAAGCCCAGCAAGGGGAACATTGAGTTAAGTAAATCATGTCTCCTGAAACAGTTGAAGACATTTTACAAACTAAGCTTTTTGGGAAAACAGTTGATGTTCCTAGCATATGGTTTATGGTCTACATTGTATTTTTCATCAACCTGCATTGCATGGAAATATCTGAATTTATGAGTGTTATGGGGGTTTATGGTTTCAAAGGTTAACGGTCTCAATCAATGTCAGTTTCACAACTAGCTTAACAGAAATGAAATCGGAATAACCAGATGTTCCCAACAACACTACTTTTGGGAAGCTATTAACATTTTTTTTTTTAACCTGAGATAATTTATTGAATGAAAAGAAAGGCCCTAAACTGTTATTTACCCATAGCAGATGGATTAGGAAATAGGCTTTTCAACGATTTTGGAAACATGAAATTGAATCTCTGATTGCAAGGAGATTCCAAGATTGTATCTGGTGTGAAGGCATTGGAGACAAAAAATAATTATATTGAGTCAATACCATGCCCTGAAAAAATCCTGCAACAAACAGGCCCATCAGCCTTTCAAGGAGTGCTTTCTGGATAATCTTAAAATCTGAGTGCCAGTGCAAAAACAATACAAAAATCTTCCAGAAGCCAGTGTCACACCAAGCAAAAGTGGGGGTGGGGTTCGGGAGGAAGCTGAGCCCTCTTCCCAGATTTTTTTACAAAATAATTGCTTGATAATGTATGACTTACTTAAATCCATTTTTAATCAGTTTTTAGGGCTGGTACACTAAAATGGCCCATACCATCAGAAAAAATTAAGTATATATAAATTTCAAATTTGCATGAAAGAAGCCAAAAATGAAAATAATCCCCAATTGAATGAAAAAAAAAAGTTCATTAGCAAGACATCCAGTGGGTCACAATAATTCAAGTGCAGGTTGCCCACCCCTGCATGAACCAGATTTTATTTTCCGTTAACATATAATAGACTAAACAATACTGCAAGCTGTATTGGAAAGAGGGAAAGGAGTGCTTGTGTATTTAAATAGTAGAGCTGCCTAGTGACTTCTAAAAAATAGATTTCAAATGCAGCTTACTAGATCTTGAGAAAGCATTTCTCAATTTTTGCAATCACCTCAGTTCAGCCCAAGAATGAAATAAATAAGTCACAAACTTACGTCATAAACAATACTAAAGCAAACAAAAGTGAATATTGACTGAATTTGTTACCAGAATGAATGTATGCAGACCTGTTACTCTCACGATTTTGGCGTACATTGTACGATTTTGAGGTATATAAATTATATATACTGTATGTTTATTTTTTTACTATTAAGATAATGTATTGAACGCTTTTAATATGATATTGTACGATTTTCAGAGTTTGAGGGTAAACAGGTCTGTATATGGCATCCTTCCGTCTTTGCAAGACGATGGTGTAGCTATTGTTCACTTCAACAGATGGCTCACTAGGCCATTCCTGGAATGGCTATCTCAACTGCAAATAGAATATTGACCCCTAGTTAGATTTGGCCTTCCATATTCTGCTTATGTTGCAAGGGCTTTGTTTCGCATATCTTCTGCCTTTTTTACTCCTTCATACACTGCTGTTTGCCAGCTAGATCGTTGTTCAGCAATGATCTCCAATTCATTGATTTCAATGTTGGCTGCTCCGTTTGCAAACGTTCATAAATCTCAGGCATGGCTGTCCCATAAGTCTTGTCCTGCCAACTCTCCATACAGCAGCTTCTTTGGCCTTCCTCCATTCTCCTTACATGGCCTAACCAGCATAGGCGCCTCTTGATAAGAGCGGAGCACATTTTTGCATGTTCAGAGACCTCTGTGTTAGGCACCTTTTCCTGCCAACGAATGCGAAAAATATGACACAGACATCTTTGATTGAAGTGGTTGAGTTTCCGCTCATGACTGGTATATGTGGGTCCAAACTTCACTGCCATATAGCAGCATACTAAGCACATGTCAGTTTTGTTTTATCAGTTAGAATGAGATTATTCCACACCCACTTATTCAGTTTAGACATAGCTGCTGCTGCTTTTGGGATCTTGATGTTTACCTCTTCCTCAATGGAGAGAGAACTGGAAATATTGGATCCAAGGTATGTGAAATGCTCAACAGCCTTTAAAAACATTTAGACACCCCTTCCCCTCCCATGCCTACTTGTAGCTTTCCAAATCCACCATCCACTTTCTCCTCGTAGTGAAAATATAATATAATTAAAAATAGTCTCCTGCCAACAAACACATTACCGATGCCATTCACCACCAGGTGTAGAAAGGTGTTAAGGCTAACAACAATAAAAGTTATTTTATTTTAATTGTAACTACACATATCTTTGTCACTTCGTAGTCATTTCAATTTAACAAGCAAAGTTGACTTTCTATTTAGTTTCTTTTCATCATTGACTTATAAGTTTAATTTTTAGAAAAACCAATCGAGCATTTCATATAAACTTTAATTTATATCGATAATGATCCTTAGGAAAGTTATACTCAAATTATGCTCATCGTTTAGGTCCAACTATTGGCCTAGTCACCCAAAGTTGAGAGTAGGAATTCCTGAAAGTGATTGTCACCCTGGTCAAAACCCATTTATACTGTAATACTGTTAACCAGTGCTAATGATGGAATGTGCTATGGGTTAGAAATTCAAGGTTTATTCATAGTTCAGTGACAAGGCTAGGGGATTTTTTAAAAATTAAAATGTAGCTTGCTTGGCTAACCCTTGAATCAATTTATTTTGATTTTATATTTTTGTAGGCCTATCATTCAAGTTATGAGAATTGTTATTTTTTATATGTGATCTCATGGAAGTATTAAAATACACCATGGGGCAATGTAGGGCGTAGAAATGGAAAAGATACAACTGATAACAGTTATGATGGTCAGTATGGACTAACAAAAAAGGAAGTGACTGATAACATTCCTAAAGCTGAAATTAGATGTGTTTAATATGCGCTAAGCACGGCAACTGAGATTAGACAATGTAAGAAGCCTTAGACATCATGGATTAGTAATAGTGTAACAAAAGGTGAATTGTTTCTTTATTATACAGACAAAATAAGCCAAGTCCAAGCTTGCATGAGTCACAGACAAACAAAATGGCGCCTGCCTTGGTAATGAAAGGAATGCAGGGATGATCAAGTGATTGAAAGCAAACTTAGGGGGCATTTTAAAACAATTAACTTATTGTAAGGGTGAATAAATAGAGGAAGAATAATTCTATATGCACCAACGTGCATTTTTGGAACACTTCACAGTGCAGCGTTAATTATCTAGAACCAATGAATCAAAACATACTCTTGCCGTTGGAAGAAAATCCGGCTATGGGTGAAACAGCGGGGGTCACCAAGAACAAAATAGATTTAATACTTACCGTCATATCGTTCAGCTTGTTCGGCAAGCTTAGCTTGATAAACACTATCCTCTCTGTCTGCCATTTTTGTTTAGGCAGATGGCTTCTTCAATTTGACGATTGAAAACGATTAGAAATTAAAATAATATCGGTGTCTACAAAATGGCCGCGCCCGCCACAGACTAAAAGTAGTTCCTGCTGATAAGCAGTGTAAAATTATTCCGCGCAGTGCGCAGGCCCATTCAAGCTTAGCAACACCGTGAGAAATCTTGGCTACGTTCACGTTATAGATACGTGCGAAAAGTCAACAGCAACAAAATAATACAAATTATTATTGTCCATTTATTACTAAATGGGCTTTACAAAAAAAATAAGTGCGTTTGATCCATCATCATCTAGTACTCTTATCCAATTCTTCTCCATTATAGTAATTATAATATCTTTATATTATTCAAGATCCACGAATCAAATTTCTGTTATAGGACCTACTTAATTTCAGACCAATAGTCACCGACAACAAAATATAGATGTAACATGTTCAATAATTGTCCCCTCCATGTTCAGAAAGCTTAAATGTTGCTTTTCTTTTAAAATCATAATCATTTATAATAAGTAGAAACTTAATTATTGAGTGCCTTTTGTGGTTTTAGATAACATTGCGTACTTAGCTTGTTAGAATAAAAAGACTATATCGGCACTATCGCTCTCTTCCCTGTTACTGTCTCATATATTGTTAATCTATTTCACTTTTAAACAGTAAGTTTCCTGGGGGTGGGATTCTTACAGTTAGAAATGTACAATTCCGTTGTCATTTATTTGCAATGTCCATTCAAGTTAGTCAGGGCGTATCTAGAGTATTTTTTGCCCGTGTACAAGATTGATTTTGCACCTCCTCAACTGTGAAATTCAATATTTTCATCAGTAAAATATCATCAAAGCCCATTTTGGAGTCCTCACTAGTATGTCACCAGGGGAATATGTCCACCTCTGCTTCCCTAGTTACCATTCTGTAGATGGAAATTCTACTGTAGGCTTACTTGACAAAAATTTGATTTAAAAAAAAAATAGGCCCATATGCCAGTATGCAACAGTATGACTATCTCTGCCTCTTTCCATTAGGTTTACAGTTTTAGCTTCATTATGTTGTATCTTTACATTAATTTATCTGCTAAAATGCTGTATTGGTATATTAGATTTTTCCTTAGATGTGTCATTCTTAATTTTTGTGGAGCTGGTCGTGCTGCATCGTTTTTATACGCTGAACATAATCTTGTAATGTATAAAACTTTACCCGGAAGTGCGTATTTTGCATCTTTTGCACATTGCCGGCATTCCTGTTCCTATACCAATACATAAAATAAACGATACAATTTATTTTTTTTATCTTTTTTATCTTTCGAATGAACGTGTATTCACGTTAGTTTTATATGGTGACTTTCACCCATCCATAGCATCCCTTTCTTACTGAACAAATTTTCAGAACTGTGACAACACACTGCTGACTCATGTGCATGGGATAGGGAAACCCATGTATTATTAGTAGTAAGTTAGTAAGCAGAAACCCAACCTAGATTTTAAGTTATTTTAGCGTTCAATACGTAACTGGTTATCGGTGCTCCTCAAGTCAAATTCACCCGTCTTCTGGACATTTATGATCGAGCTATTAATCATAATTGATGTTTGTGATCGTCGAAAGAACATTTAAAAATGATCGCAAATCTCCATATAACAGTAATAACACATCATACATTTGATTTTATATGTATGTCATTTTAAAAACCGCTTACTTTAGAGATAAAGAAACTTCTTCGGTATGAAAGGATAGAAACTTCAATTATTAAAGTATTTATAGACTTCACCTCATCAAGAAGTTGAACATAAATTATGATAATGTTAAGGCCAAGGCCTACACGGTATTCCAAAATATGTAACCCATCGGTGTATCTTATGAAAAAAAGAATTGTTTTAAATAATATGAAGGCTATTTTAAAAGTGTATTTATTTTACTGAGAAATAAGAATTGCTGATGCTTGTACTTAGATTGTTACGCCTGTGTGAGAATGTCATACTTATTAGTTGTAGAGGTGTCACCAGGGAAAGTGCCAGCAAAGGCGATAACACTATCACACGAATTCATACACCTTTTCCCCCTTCCAAGAATGCCAAGAGAAATGTAGGCCCGTCATTTTCATTTAAAAAAAAATTAAGCCTAATAAATAAAAGAAATGACTTGTCCTTATTGCATTTTAAGATAATAATAAAGATAATAGCCATGAAACAAAATGAACATTTAAAGTGAAACCTTTGAAAATTTTACATTTTCTATACTGAGCGAACTGCATTGTGATGTTTTTTTTTTTTTAAAGCTTCAAATAATGTATTTCTTATTTTTCTATTGCCTGAACCGATAAAGAAGGCGTTTAGCCGAGTCGTTCTTTTATATGTTATGTCTCTTTTTTAAAGCTTAAATCTATCTTGTTCCAGTATTTGTGTGGAAATTTTAATAATTTAATTACAGTACAACTTACAAGAGCAAAATACAGGAACCGACAAAAGGGGGGGGGGGGGGGGGGGGGGCCCACAACAACAAAGTCTAATAATTGATGTTTGGCTATAGGCCTACTGAAAAAAAAAATTATCTTAGGCTCATGTTTCTTGCAAACCGTAATTTGTTGTTATGATTGCAATAGTTTAAAAATACATTTTAAACCTTGTTGAATGTAACAGGTAAAGGGTACAGAAATCCAACAACGCAATTCGGATAACTCTACCTGGTACACCGGTAATTTACATTACAAACACGGTGATCTGTTGGTTTCTCTCTGGGTTGAGGGTGAAGGTTTGGGAGAGGAGGCAGAAATGATGATTGTTAAGCATGGATGGGCATTGCAGGATTAAGACCTGCGGATGCCCTAGGTAAGGTAGTCGAGCTTTAGCCTCCACCGGTGACGTAGTCTGAACTAGAAGGACTTGGCTTAGGAAGAGGGGCGGTGCGCCCCGAGCCCCGAGTGACACTTTTATATATAATTAATATATATATATGTGTCGATATATAAATCGAGCGGTGGCATTTTCTACCAACTGGAGAGCTTTTTAGTGGGGAGGGGGCGGAAAAAACTTGGCCCACCGCAAGTGGCAATAACCCTAGCAACGCCACTGCAGGGGATATCGCGTAGGAGTGACCGCCCGGGCCACACAGTATGGTTTATATAGGTCTAATATTACATAATTGATGTGTGCCGCTTTTTAGCGGACATTGTAATTTTTATTCTATTCATTCCTGCTGTCATCAAAAGCGTCTAAAATCATTTTCCCCTCGACGATTACCGTGAAGAGAAAAGCTTACGATTTGTGTTGTTTTCTCTTATTTTTCCCGTTTCCTCCTTTTTAATTTAACTTAATTTAATTTCGTTAGACACCCAGAACTTGGAGATGCCTTTAACTATAGTACGCTTCTACGCCACAATTGTGTGTACATTGTGAATCAAATCCAGTCAACAACATATAGCTTTTGTTCCGGGGCCCATAGGCACGTGCCTACTTTGCCTTTAGGCTTTCCGTTAATTTGGGGGGGGGGGGTATGCTGTAGACTCCGACAGCGGTTCTCCTATTCTAACCATGGCATGTGACGTCACGGCAGCGATAAGAGGTAAATCCAGTGACATTGGAGGCGCCATAGGTGCACGTCCCGATTAATGTCAGCCGATGCCCAGAGTACTGCCAAAGAATGGAGTACAGTGTACAGTGGCGTATGGAGGCATATTGACACATGGAGGGGCGGCAGATTCGGAATACGTCAGAGGTTTTGTTGTTGTTTTTTTTTTCGGGGGAGAGGATGGCTAAAAGCTTGGTCCGTCCCGGGCAGCACCAACCTAGCTACGCCACTGCACTAAATAAACGCAACAAGCCATTGTTGTTATTTATTGTACTAGAAATAACGAACAACGAACAACGGCGATGGCAGTGGTTGGTTCACGCTACCAACGTTACTTGACAAAACATGCATTCAAGTAACGCAGTTTATAATAAGAAGGGGTAATAAGGGGAGAGACTGCAATCAGGTTAGTACAAAATAAAATGAGTAAAACAGAGTATGGTTAAACCTGAAAAATTAAACGTAACAAAACAGCGAACGTGTCGGCAGAAAGCCTTCGTCAGCGAACAAAACAACAGAAAAAACGTTATAAAAATAAGAATAAGAAATAATAAGAAACCAAAGAAGTGCTTTCTTCTGGGAATTGTATTTTGCGCGCCCACATACCTAGAGCTTTATCATGTGTGGTATCATATTCTTTTCATAAGGCATCCACCAATGAAAGTCACGGTGTTCTTTAGCTTTATTCCAACAGAATGGAACATGTAGGCCTTAACCATTTTTAGGACGAACTAAGACTTATTTGCGAAAGTAAATATTACACGATGCAAAACATTATTGAAACCATTTTTTTTTTAAATTCCATGAAGAAAAGATTATAACAAAATGATATCTGACATCTGATTTTTATTTCAGCTTAAATTATGGAAAATATACAGAAATGTATCTATATGAATAATTTATTGTTAAAAAATGTAAAATCAATAGAAAAACTCAAATGTTTGCGTCATTTCCGACATCCTATTCTGATTTCTGACTAACATGGAAGATCTATACCACTTATCTTACAGTCGACTTCAAGATGCAAATTAGTCCTCTGTAAGTTGTCTGCTTATAGTTTATATAGTTTATCCCCCCCCCTCCCCAACAAGGTAAGTGACTAATTTTAAAAAATTCGAAATAATAACAAGATCTTCATTTTTTAGAAGAGGTCCCAATGCTTCTCTTGGAGTATTTAGTTGCCACTTTTAGGATTTTGAATAGCGGTGTGCTCGGGCTGGGACAACGAACACTGCCACGTTTTTATATGACCATAAAGTTTCCAATGTTGTATGGGCCGACTGCCTTCGTTTGAAATAAAAATGTAAAAATAACAGTTTGGCCTTCTGAATGAAAGCGTTTTATTAGCCCAGGGCTGTATGACTCTGGGTGTTGCAGCTTTTGATTGCAGTGCTTGCACTGAGATTATGACACATGGAATCCGTATGTAGATGTCTGCACCACACTGTTATCTTTACATGTTGATGTCTGAACCACACTGTTATCTTGACATGTAGATGTCTGCACCACACTATTATCTTTACGTGTTGATGTCTTCACTACACTGTTATCTTTACATGTTGATGTTTGCACCACACTGTTATCTTTACTTGTAG